CTGGAGCAGAATATGGAATCCTTGCAGCAAAGGAGAAAAATGCTTTCTGATTTCTCTGGGGTTCCCCCCACACACAGAGCCTGGGCTTGTTACTTCATCTCAGGCAGGAGCAATGATCTGAGCCAAGAGTGTTTTGATTCTAATCTCAATTTGCGTGCAGAGCTCTTCTGGGAGGTGCTGTCTCCCTAGTTATAAAATGAAAGTAATACTTGTCCACACCTCCCCTCTCCCAGGACGTGTGAGGATTAAATCATGTCTTTAAAGTCATAAATTTATTTCAGTAAACATATTCAAGAACGTGCCTTTTGCATCTGAAGCACAGTTGGTCCCTGCTCTTTAGTCCCTGGTGTACTGTGGGTGAAAGGATGCTGCTGCTGGACCTGTGCTTGAAGGATGCTTCAGTCCAGATCAGAGCTTTGTGTGAGATCATGCAACTGCCTTGACGTCACTCTTTAGTACAGAAGTTTTCTGATTTGATCACATTTTGTATATAACCAAGCATAATGAGTTCTATCCCAGAATAGATGAGCAGCTCTTTTTAGGTAGCTCATCTGTTGGTAACATATGCTGAACTTCAAAACCCAATATTGGGGGCAGGAAGTTCTCTGAATTGGGTTTTTTAGCATTAGATCCTTTTAGCAATAGCAGTTGTTTGTTTACTGCATGATGGAAAGTCTCTCTGCAAAGCAGTTCTGCTCCTCTGTAGCAAGAAGATCTCTTTGGCAAAATGCTTATTGGGTCAGAGAAGTTCTGTGGTAAGAGACTGCTGTAATCAAACCAGCAAGGCTTCCAAACAGAGGGACAGCAGATTCTGTCCATCACAGGCTTGAAGAAGGTTTGTGCTTTGATTGGGTTCTATTATCTCTGATGCTTCTAGAACTGGTAGGAGGGTGCTGCTGCAGAGGGAAAGGAATTGCTGCTGCTTCTGGAGGAATAAGAGGCAGGTACATTTAACAGATCTGTGTGCCTCCACTCAGTAAGGTACAAATGGAAGCATTTGATTGCCAAAGGTGAGTCTGCCGGGCAGAGCACTGTTCAACAGGGAGGCATCCAAACCACAGATGCTATTTCTCTTCCAGCTGTAAAAGGTTAAGCAAATATATGTTGACACTCCTGCTTCCATCTACCAACAGCAAGCATCATTGATTCAGAAGGGCAGTGTACCAACATGGCAAATGCAATAAGCTGCTCAGTATTAGCTGTCTGTCTTGATGCAGCGCGCCCTGCGTGACGGTGCCCAGTGCTCCCTGATGCCTGTCCTCCAGCTCTGCCGACAAGAGGCAGCAGGCCTTTCTGGGGAAGAGAAAGGTGATCTGTCATGTCTTTGTCCCCCCTTTCCAAACAGGGGAACTGCTACTGTGGATGGAGCTGGTTTTGGCATCGATCGTCCTGCTGAGCTCACCAAGGAGGATGATGAGTACCAAGCATTCCGTAAGCGAATGATGCTCGCCTACCGCTTCCGACCAAATCCATTGGTAAGGTGGTCCCAAAACGAGAGCAGGCACAGTGACAAACCCACTGAGGCTTCTGTGTGTGTCTCGTAAGGGTGGGGGTGTTTCTAGCACTTAGCCAAGAGAGCAAATGCTGTGAAAGTTTCTCTTTTGATTCTGCTCTCATGCTGAATCACATTAGCGCTACCAAAACAGCCACGGATGCGCAGTTTTCTTTGCCATCACTTTATTTTTAAACACAAAAGCCTATGGGTTGAGTTTTATCTGGTGCATACCAAGTATAAACGCTGAGCACAAAGGATATGGGGGCTTGTCCATGGGCTCTTTTGGATAATTGTTTTCCTGGTTGCAAAAGGCTGCTCCATTTGCATTGGCCTCGTCCATTCCGCATGCCAGCACACCTTGAAAGCTCCATTTATAATTTGTGATGGGCGAAGCTCAGGTTTCGCTGTCAGAAATGTCACGTTTCAGTGGCTTTTTCAGGTAATTAAGCTCAGATGCTCATTGTTCTGTGAAGACAGCAGTTTTGATTCATTTCTCTCTTCTTCCCCACAGAACAACCCGCGACGACCTTACTACTGAGAATGCTTTTGGGGGACAACGTGTTTTCAAATCCAATTGTAATTTTTCTGTGAAATGTTATGAAACTGCATTATCAGTCTCTTATTTGCTAATATTGTAAAACTTTTCAAAGTCATGATACCATCTGTCACCCACAAGAGCCCCCTTGAGTGTCACGACAGCCATGTCATAACAAGGCCTGGGTGGTTCTTGGGGAGGAGAACAGAGCAGGTGAGAACAGACTTTCACATGGTGCCCTGCTGACAGGGGAAGGGTAGCACCAAAGATACTAGTAAGTAGTTCAGGGACTTCATTTGTGTTTAGCTCAGTGCCATGTTACACGGAGTGCATTTTGTGTGACCCTGCAGATCCTCTGCTGTTCAGATGTGCAGCTTGTGCTGCTCTAGGTTGTTTGGTTGAGTTGTTAATGACAACAAGGAGCTATCTCCACCCCAGGTTTTGGGGCTGTTGTTCAAGTCAGGCTATTGTTCCCTGAAGAACTGGGTCCTGATGCTGTCATGAAGCCAGAAGTATACTCTGACCTTCACCTGACATTGCAAAACCAGTGCCTGGTTGGTTTACCTCTGGTGTGGATTGGTGTGAAGTGTGGCTTGGGGGATGTGGGGGCAGGTTCTTCAGAGGTGATGGCTTCTTGGTCTCTTGAACACTAGGTTCACCCCAAAAGACTTGCAAACCAAGAGACTTGCTACAACTTCCTGTGGCTCGGGGTGCTGAAGAATCAAGCCTTCAGCCACAGCTTGGCAAAGGCCATTTGGATTCTGTTGTCATAAGAAACCTCCTTACAGATATAAATTTTCTTCATTCAGTCTGTAAATAAAATAAAACTCATTTGTTCCTTAGTTTTAACCACTGAATTTCTGGGAGTAGTTGCTCTTACTGTGAGTTTTTATAGGCTGAGGGACTGTTCTGCACCTCTTTCCTTCCAAGCATCTTAAACCAATGTGAGATTGATTGGTTGGTTTCTTCTGCCTTTGTTTTCCTTCCATCCAAGTACTTGGTGTGTGCTTCCCTTTTGTTAACTTTTCTTACCAACATCGAGCCAAGCATTTGGCTTTCAATAAAACCCATTGAAACAGTCAATTCAGGAGGGTTTCATTTGAGGGGAATCAGAGTGAGTCAGGCCCTCCTGCACACCCAGAGCTGGGCGAGCTGCTGCAGTGGGTGCACAGGGAGGTTGTGCTGGGGCTGAGTGTGAACATGGGCAGAGAGCATGGGAGATTGGGAAATAGAGATAACAAAACCTGGCAGGTCTGAGGTAGGGCTCAGGTTCTGCTCAAGTGATTGAGGGCACTGTGGCAAGTGCTTCCCTGGGAGGTTAGGACATGGGACTGTTTGGTTTCGCCCTGTTGTGGTTTGGTTTTGGCTGCTGTTGCTGATCAGGTCTTTAAAGCCAGTCTGATACTACAGTGACCTCCGTGTGCTTTGTTGGTGTGTTGGCAAAAGCTGGTTTAGAATCAGGCTGGTTTGGGTTGAAAGGGACCTTAAAGCTCCTCCCGCTCCAACTGGAGGGACCCCTTCCACTGGAGCAGCTTGCTCCAAGCCCCTGTGTCCAACCTGGCCTTGAGCACTGCCAGGGATGGGGCAGCCACAGCTTCTCTGGGCACCCTGTGCCAGCGCCTCAGCACCCTCACAGGGAAGAGCTTCCCAAGATCTCATCCCTTTCCAGTGGACATGGGGCTGGGTTGCTGTGATGCTCGGAGCCGCTGTTGCAAGAGCAGCGTGACTGACACAACGCTTGTAGGAGATTCAGTGTTGGAGACAACCTGTAAGTTACTGCATCGAGTTCCCCCATCTTCTGTGGTTTCGCCCCTTTCTCCTATTCCACAGGGTCTTGTGCTGCTCTTTGGGCACTGTGGGGCTGGTGGGCGGTTTCTCAGCTACAAACCCTAGCTTGGCCCTGAGATCCCTTTACTGTCAGGCACTGCAGGCTGCAGGAACAGCAGCCAGTGAGCTTTTCCTTGTCAGTGAGGTGCTGACGCGGCTCACAGGGAGTGTTTGAGTTCCTCCTGCACAGAGGAATGATGAACAAGCCCAGGGCAAAGTGCAGAGCAGCCAGTTCAGCCCCGGGACTCTTAAGCAAGAGGGCAAAACAGTGACACGCTTGTGAAGAAGGGGCAAGGTTGAGTGGCTGCTGTGGGGGGCTGCAAAGTACTATGGAAGGGGTGAAGTGTGTGCCCAGGTCCCACCGTGGGCTGGGGGCAGGTCGAGCAGTTTGAGCAGAGCAGGAGAGGAGCAGGTCAGGGGACTGCTGGGCTCCTTCTCCCTTCAATCCTTTATTAAAGGCAAGGATGAAGTGTTTCTCCTGTTGTCAGAGAGCTGAAGATGTGTGTGTCCTGGATCTTCTAAGTGTTCAGATTTTAGAATGAATTGAGAAAAAAGAAGCAAAACCACACTGCTCAGCAAAGCCTCTTCGTGAGAGATTTTATCATAGAATTGCAGACTGGTTTGTGTTGGAAGAGACCTTAAAGCTCCCTCAATACCAAGCCCCTGCCACGGGCAGGGACCCCTTGGAGGTTGCTCCAAGCCCCTGTGTCCAACCTGGCCTTGAGCACTGCCAGGGATGGGGCAGCCACAGCTTCTCTGGGCACCCTGTGCCAGCGCCTCAGCACCCTCACAGGGAAGAGCTTCTGCCTAAGAGCTCAGCTCAGTCTCCCCTCGGGCAGGTTCAAGCCATTCCCCTTGGCCTGTCCCTACAGGCCCTTGTCCCAAGCCCCTCTCCAGGTTTCCCCTTTAGGCACTGGAGCTGCTCTAAGGTCTCCCCTTCAGGAGCCTTCTCTTCTCCAGGCTGCCCCAGCCCAGCTCTCGGCCTGTCCCCATGGCAGAGCTGCTTTACCTTCCCCCCAGCCCTTAGCCCCGTTTCCCCCCCATGTGCAGGGCTCCAGAGGTGCTCTCCCGCTCCCCGCGGTTCCCCTCAGCCTCCCTCCCGCCGGCTCTGCCGCTTTAAGGGCGCTGCCTCCGCCGGGGCCGAAGTCCGCGGGCTGCGGGCGGCAGCGGTGGCCGGGCCGGGGATGCAGCTCCCGGCAGCGCCGGGCGCGCTCGCCCCTTCCCTGCTCGCCATCCCGGTGGCCTTCGGCATCAATGGAGCGGCCGCCCTGGCAGAGTGAGTGCGGGCTGGGGCTGGGGCTGGGGCTGGGGCTAGGGCTAGGGCTAGGGGTGGGGGTGCGGGTCCCACCAGGACCGGCCACTGGGTCCCATCCGGCCCCCAAGAGGGCAGCGGTGCCCAGGGCAGGGTGCTGGGGGGTACAGCCCAGTGCAGGGGGCTCCATCCTGGTGCCCCAGAAGGCTGCTGCAGGCTGGAGGTCGCTGACGTGGTTCCCGGCTGCCTTTATGGCTTTGAAGTGGCGCTACCGGGGCTTGCTCGCGCTCATTACACACCATGGAGCGCAATGGGGATCAATGGTAGCCCCAGTCCTGGGGATCATGGTGCTGAGCACCTCTGATTGAGGAGCATCCTTTCCAGCTACCTGGCTCCAGGTCACAGGGATGAGACCTCCAACACCGGGCACTGGGGACCCTCTGAACCCTGCTCTGCCCCCCAGAAGTGACCCTCCTGGTGTCTTGGCTGATGCCACTGCCCAGGCTGGCCCCGTCACCGCCGCTGTCACCCTGCTGGTAACAGCCCCCCTCTGGGTTTGAGTGACGTGTCCTGGGTGCTCAGCACATCCCCATCCCGCATCCCACACAGGATCCCAGCACATCCCCACCTGGCAGCAGCCAGAGCCGGGGTCAGCTCCCACCACTCCCTGACATGTTTGATTTCCCTTCTATGTCCATCCACATTCAGACCCTTTGCTGTTCTCTGCTTCCCTGTCTCATGCCTCAGGAACTCTGGGTTTCCTTCTTGTGTTCTTCCATCCCTTTTCCACTCTTTCTATCTCTTCGTTCCTGCCAGGCCCCTTCACCCTCCTTTTCCCATTCATTATACATTTCTTTTTATAGCTCCTTTCTGCTGTAGCTTTAGCAGCAGGAAGGGCTTTTAGCCAAATCTCTCTTCATCCCAGAGCCGGGACTTTCCTGGCCACCCGATAAACTTTACTTAATGATCTCCCAGTTTTCATTCCCATATTTTTGGCCTCTTCTTTCCCCTCCATCCCATGCGGCACTGCAGTGCTGCAGCCCAGCTCCCTGGGATCCATTGCTATGAGATCCGCAGTAGAGCCAGATACAACCACATCCCTGTGGGAATGCTGCTCCCCCCATTCTGCTGCATCTCAGGGGGATGACTTCCATCAGTCCCCGCTGTGGGATGGGCGATGGTGGCCTCCAGGCCCCTCAGCCTGCCGGGGGGAGCTGGGTGCCCTGAGCACGGCACCCCAAGGTGCTGGTACGCGTGGGGTAGCCCGGTGTGTGCCAACACGGGTTGCTGTGCCTCGAGCCCCATCACACACAGTGCCCAGAGGAGCCCAGTGCTGGGGCTGCTCCACTGCAGCACCTGTATTGGAATGGGTCATTCTGTGGGGGTAAGGAGTTGTGTAGTAACTGCTGGGGCAGCAGTGACAATGCACTGAGGAGGGGACACCTCAGCTGTTGCATCGCTTTGAGGGCAGGTTCAAGCACATCTCTTGGTTGGATGCTTGAGGACAAGCTCAGCCCTCCCTCGGTGCTGCTGTGTCACCCATCCTGGCCCTGGCATCGGTCCTGCAGTCACCCACCTCAGCCCAGGGAGGGCAATTCCAGCTGCACAACAAACAGGGGCTGGGTGCTGTCACAGCCTCCTGTAAGCAGGACCGGAGCCGGGTGACCCTGGTGGCCTTTGTCCCTGCTCAGAACGCAGGGGCATGCAGGCAGGTGACTGGGTACTGACACTGGTGTCTGCACAGACATCAGCCACCGCTTGGCCTTTTCCTTTGGTAGCAGGGTTAAAGGCTTGAGTGAAAACACTGGGATGCTTTCCATGTTTCACAGCTGAGGCATTGGCTAAAGCAGAGCCCAGCTCCTGCAGGGGATGCAGCAAGCTCAGGGGTGACTCCCCTACAACCTCTTCACTCTTTTAGGACCTGGGTTCAGCATCTCGTTACTGATGCAGTTTATAGTCAAGTACCCCAGTCTCTTATCACAGTGGCCCATTGCCGCAGCCTAGAGAGGGAGGACCACAGGAGCCTCGGCGAGGCAGCCCCTTCCCACCCATGCCTGGGCATCAGACCCGGCCTTCCTCTGGGATTTGCTTCCCTGGGGTTGTTTTAGAACCCAGAGGAGCCATTGCCCTGCTGCAGGGGATGGGCAGCACCAGGGTGCAGGGTCTGATCCTGCCGTTCCTCCTGCTCTGGTGGACACCTCTCAAAACTGGGGGGGCAAAGATGCTTTCATCTGGGCTGGGATAAACAGGGCTTCACCCCCCGGCTGTGCCCGGCTGCTGGAGCCCACCCTGCTGCCCCGCAGGAGCCCGCTGGTGCTGGTGCTGACGGGGCTGCTGGTGTCCGCCAGCCTCTTCTCCATCATCTTCTTCATAAGCGGAGGGAGCCACTTCCAGGACCCCCTGTTCTGCGGTGAGTCCCCCCCCGGGGTGTGGGGACTGATCCCATGCCTGCCAGGATGTGGGATCTGGGAAGCGCTGTGGGATCTGCTCAGAGCTGGCTCATTCCCCGCAGTGTTTGTGGTGTTCTCCTTCACCTCCATCGTCGACCTGATCATCGCGCTGGAGGAGGATGGCTTCATCTCTGGCTTCATGGAGGTCTACGTCAGAGAGGTACCCCCCCACCCGCGCACAGAAGCTGCTCCTGCCACAGAGGGGCGATGCACGGGACAGCATCATGGGGAGGGGGCTTGGGAAGGTGCCCGTCCCCATCCCGTATGATCCGTTATCTCCCAATGGGCAGGGTGAGCCCTACCTGCGCACGGCGCACGGGATCATGATCTGTTACTGGGATGGAATCATCCACTACGGGCTCTACCTCGCCATGACAGCGGCCATCGGCCAGAGGTGAGCAGGGAGGCAGAGTGGCTCCAGTGGCTGCGTGGTATCCTCATGGATCCAGAGCCCGGAGGGGCTCCTGGGGGTTGGAGCATCCCTGAGGGGATGCTGTGAGGGGGGGATCAGAGGTGTCTGATCCTGATGTCTCTGCAGAAGGAACTACAGGAACCTGGGTCTCTTCTGGCTGGGCTCTCTGATGATGAGCATCATCGTCTTCCTGCTTGGGAACCTCATAGGTACAGGGGTGCGAGGGGGGGCTCGGCTCCATCCAGGCTGCTTCCATGCCCTGTTTGCCCAGCAGGTTTGCTCCCGCAGGCAGAGGAGGAAGGTGCTGAGCTGGAGGCAAGCAGCAGGTATGGACACTGCGCTGTGCCCACCCTGTGCTCTCCTTCCCCAGGGAAATACAGCTCTGACCTCAGCCCTGCCTTCCTGCTCAACCTGCCCTACATCCTCATCCCCCTCTGGGCTGGGCTGAGGCTATTCCAGCAGCCCAAGGCCCTGCCATGCCTCAGCCCCGAGAAGGTGAGCTGGGAGCTGGGGCAGGAGCTCAGTGGGGAGCGGCACTGGGAGCCATCACCATTATGGACCACAGGGTGTGGGACCAAACCCAGCGCGTTTTCCCTCTCCCAGGTGGCAGAGGAGCAGCGCAAGCGCCTGTACCAGCGGCCCCAGGACATGGGGCTGGTCCTGCTCCTGCTCCTCATCGCTGCGTTCACCTTCTTCAGGGGGATGGTGAGTGCTGGGTCCCTGCTTGGGGGTCCCAGAGGGCCCATGAGGGTTCGGGGGGGGTGCATCTGCCACTGTGCACATCCTCAGGTGGTTCTGGACTGCCCTGCTGATTCCTGCTTCGAGTACATCTACCAGCACGAGCCGTACCTGCGGGACCCCGTCGCCTACCCCAAAGTGCAGGTGAGCAGGGTGCAGGCAGGGCTGGAGTCCCCCCGGTGGCACTGGGCACGGGGTGACCCTCTCCATGTGCCCCCTAGATGCTGATCTTTATGTTCTACGTCCTCCCCTTCTTCTGCCTCTGCATCTACGGGCTGGTGCTGCCCGGCTGCTCCTGGCTGCCCGACTGGAGCCTCGTGTTTGCTGGTGCCGTGGCACAGGTGAGGGCTGCAGGGGGGGCCATGGTGGGACCCCTGGGCTGGGTTTTGGTCCCCACCAGACCAGAGCTTGGGGGAGCAGCTCCCCACCCGCAGCTGATGTGGAGCAGCTCCCACCGCCGCTGCCGGGTAATTGCTTTGGCCTCGGTGGATCCTAATGGAGCCGGGGATTAGCTTGACAGAAATAGGCTGGGGCGAGCCTGCAGGTCTATAGATAGGATGCGCTGGGTGTGCTCCTGCTCAGCGCCCTTTGGTGCTGTCGCCCGCCCTGTGCCACTGCTGCCCTGTCCCCCCAGGCTCAGTTCTCCCACGTGGGCTCCTCGCTGCACAGCCGCACCCCCTTCCCCTACCAGACCCCCGAGGATGTCTGGTGGAGCTTCCTCCTCACCAACGTCCTCTACGCGCTGGGGCCGCAGCTCCTGGCCCTGCGCTGCCTGCACAGCCCTGCCTTCTTCCTGCCTGCCACCTCTGCCAGCCTGCACGGGGGCAAGAAGCACCAGTGACCGGTCCTGCCCCTCCGGGGGCTGCTGCCTGCCCCCTGCTCCTGCAATGGCACCGGAGCAGCCCGTGGTGAGACCTGCCCGGTAGAGGTGTCCCCAGGGATGCTCCTAGCCCCCTGCATCCCCTAACGCTGTGGGCTGCCCCAGGAGGAGCCCGAGGTGCTCTGCGGAGCCATTGCTGCAGCCACAGCCCTGCGCTTGCCCGGGCTTGAAGGGGTCCCTCCTGTGGGGGGCTGCTGGGGGTGTGGGGGCCCCGTCGCACCCCAGCAGGACACGGGGGTGAGGACTGCCGGGAAGACACTGTTTACACAATAAAGGAGCGAAGGTTCGGCCTCTGCGCTGGTGTCCCTGCTGTGGCCGGGGCTGTCACCCCCCAGCACCGCACTGGACCCCCGGTGTCACCCACCCGAGGGGCACAGGGGAGCTGCCAGACTTTGCCCCCTCCTGCTCTTTGGGGTGCAGGGGTTGAGGGGAGCGGGTCCCTGCCGCGCTCGCTGGAGGGGCTCAGGGTGGGGTTGGGGGGTGTGAGCCTGGGGGTGCACACGGGTGGGGGTACACGAAGGGGGTGCAAGGGGGGTGCTGGCGGTGGCTCCGCGCTGCCCTTGGAGGGGGAATTACGGGGTAAAACTCGTTGCACCCCGCGGGTTCCCCCCGCATCCCGGGCCGGGGGCACCGGCGGTACCGGGCACCGGTGACCTTGGCGAGCCGGCGGCCCTGCGCAGCGCCGGGAGCCGGGGCAGGGCCGGGCCGAGCTCCCGGTGCCGCCCCCTGCGCGGAGCCGCACCGGCAGCACCGGCGGTACCGGAGCGCTCCTGCGGCCGGGCCCCTCCCGCGGGTCGGCACCGGCGCCCGCAGAGACACGGTGAGTGCGGGGGGGGGGGGCTGCGAGGAGCCGGGGCGGACCCGCGGGTACCGGGACCCCGGGCGGGGGCAGCTGCCTGCGGCCGGGCCGGTTTCCCCCAGCCCCGAGCGCTGCGATGCCCGACCCCGGGCACCGGCGTCCCGCAGCCCCGGGGCTGCCGCCGCAGTGTCCCGCACTGCAACACCGCACCGCAGCGGCAGCGCCGGGGCTGCCCCGCTCCCCCGGCTCCCAACCGCGCACCGGGACCCCCGGGGGACCGCCCCCCTCTCCCTGCCCCACAGCCAGGCCCTGGGTCCCCTTCCCCAGCCCCACTGCGCTCGGTGGAGGGGGGGGGGGAATCATTCCTACGGTGAGGAGGACCCAGAGCCCGGCTGGGATTTGGGGCACCCCGTGAGAACTGGGGGCTCAGGCACCAGGCTGCAGTGCAGGGGTGGGGGGTCCTCAGCCCCCAAGAGCTGGGGGGCTCCGGCACATGTTTCCCTGGCTGCCCCAGGGAAGGGGGTGCTGCCGGGGGGCTCTGGGGGGCTCCATCCGCCGCAGCCACTCCAGCGCCATCAGTTCAGTTTCCAGATGTGCCAGTGCCGACATAAATAACTCAGGAGATCCAGCCCCGAGCGCCTGCCATGAAATATTCATCCCGGCTGTAACGGAGCGGGTGAAGCGGAGTTCAGGCTGCGGGGCACGGGGGTCCCTGCGGGCCGGGGATGCTCAGAGCAGGAGCCGGCGCTGCCGGTCACCCCCCTCTGCTTGGGGTGGGTGAGGTGGGAGGGGAGGCGAGGAGCTTCCCCACTAGGGGTGTGCGTCGGGGACCAGCATCGCTGCTGAAGCCGGGGCTCTGTTTGCTCCCACACTCACCCGGGGGAACGGTGGGTGCTGAGGGGCTCTGCTCTCCTCCCAGATGTGTCCCCGAAGCCCCTGGGCTGCTCTCCCTGCAGCTCTGCTGCTCCTCACCTGCGTCCTCGCCTCTGACACGGTGCCCAGCGCCCGGGGAAGGAAGAAGGTGGTCCATGTCATGGGTGAGTGTGGATGGGGATGTGCAGGAGCGAGCTGGGCTGCACCCCCACGGAGGGATGGAGGGGACCGTCCTGCAGCCGTCAAGCTGTTGGGTCTAATCTGCACTAAAAGGCTTCCTTGTGTCCCTCTTGCCCTGGCCAGGAGCCACCCAACCCTCCTCGAGGGTTGCAAAGCCCCCAAAAGAGGGGAGTTCCTGCCCAAATTACCCTCAGCCTTCCTCATCCCCACTGTGGGTCCTGCCTGGGATGGAGGCAGCATGGGGCTTGGGGACAGGGATACGCCTGAGCTCGGTGTCCCTTGCAGAGGGTGACAGCGGGGCCGTGGTGGTGCAAACAGCACCAGGGAAGGTGGTGACCCACCGGGGCGGCACCATCATCCTGCCCTGCCGCTACCACTACGATGTGTCTGCGCACGACCCGGCCGAGATCCGCCTCAAGTGGACCAAGGTGACGGAGCCGATGGCCTTCGTGGACGTGTTCGTGGCGCTGGGCAAGGCGCGGCGGGCGTTCGGCAGCTACCGCGGGCGCACGGCGCTGCAGGAGGACGGCTTCGGCGACGCCTCGCTCATCATCCGCAACGTCACCCTGCAAGACTACGGCCGCTACGAGTGCGAGGTCACCAACGAGCTGGAGGATGACGCCGGCATGGTCAAGCTGGACCTCGAAGGTACCGATGGGGCTACAGCAGGGATGGGGCTTGGCCAGGACACGTTTCCCGGTGCTGGGCTCGGCCCTGCTTTACTGCCGGTTGTTTTTCCTGGTGTGTGCCGTGGTTTATTGCTTGTTATTGGCTTTTATTGTTGCTCCAGGTTTACAGGCTGGCAGCTAATAAATGCTGGAGATAGATAGTGGTGCGGCCTCGTAAAGCACCAGGAGAGATCAGGTTGTGGCAGCAGCGGTGCTGCTGGGGAATGGGAAAACTCTTTTATGGGGGCTCAGGAGGTGCAGTAGCGCTGCTCTGGCCAGTATGGGCTTGCTGGGGATGCTGGGGCTTGGCTGGGCCCTGTGCAGGTACTGCTGATGTCCCCAGGCAGCAGCTCGTGGAGCCCTGGGGTGCCGCAGGGGTCCCTGCAGTTGCTGAGTGGGGGGTTTGGGGTTCCTGAGCAAAGCCTGGAGCACCCAAACTCCCCAAGCAGAGATGATGGCAGCTCTCCTCCACTGGCTCCAGCCCTCAGCACCAGCTCCAGCTCATGCTGATGACCCCATCCACTGGGTCAAAATGAGGTGGGGGACACCCCCCTGTACCCCAGCCCCTCCTCTCTGTCCCTCCAGGCGTCATCTTCCCCTACCACCCGCGCCTGGGCCGCTACACCCTGAACTTCCATGAGGCCCAGCAGGCGTGCCTGGAGCAGGACGGGATCCTGGCCTCACACGATCAGTTGCACCAGGCCTGGCTGGAGGGCATGGACTGGTGCAACGCCGGCTGGCTGGAGGACGGCTCCGTACAGTATCCCATCTCCCGGCCGCGGGAGGAGTGCGGCCGCAAGGATACACCGGTGGGGGTCCGGAACTACGGGTACCGGCACAAGGAGAGCGAGCACTACGATGCCTTCTGCTTCACCTCCAACCTCAATGGTAACCGGGGGGAAACTGAGGCACGGAGCACCCAGCTCCCTGATTTGGCTGGGCGGCACGGGGAGGGTTTCCCATGGTGGTCCAGCTCTGGATGAGAGGAGGATGCAGCCGCATGTGCCTTCATTGGACAACCGCATGCATCAAGTGGGGGCTCAGTGCCGGGAGCCCCCAGCAAGGACCGCGATCTGTCCCTGCTGCCTTTGTGCTTTTAGCAAAACCCATCTCTCTGGGCAGGAGCAGGGGATGGAGGGAACTGCAGCAGCAAACAGCCGAGGTGATGGATGAGGCCAGGGCCTGGCAAGACAGATGGGAGCCGGGCAGGCTGCAGGGCTGTGTGGATTCCTCCTTGCTGGCAGGGCCGCAGGGGCTCCACCACTGTTGGTTTAGTGGTGACAGCCGAATAAATCGTGGGTGTAATCACCACAAGGAGACCCCATAAATCTGCCCAGAACCCAGCCAGCTGCTCCCCTCCAAAACACACACTGAGGAAAGGTCCACAGCCCCATCCCTGCTCCATCCCACCCCACCGGATGCTGGCGCTGGACCACGTACAGGATGTCCCCATCCCCAGCAACCTCTGCTTTGTGCCTGTCCCCCCGTAGGCAAAGTGTACTTCTTGAAGACGTACCGCAAGCTGAGCTACGCCGAGGCGGTGCAGGCCTGCAAGAACAACGGGGCGGCCGTGGCCAAGGTGGGTCAGCTCTACGCTGCCTGGAAGATCCAGCTGCTGGACCGCTGCGAGGCGGGCTGGCTGGAGGACGGCAGCATCCGCTACCCCATCGTCAACCCGCGGGCACGCTGCGGCGGCCGGGAGCCCGGCGTGCGCAACCTGGGCTTCCCCGACAAGAAGTACAAGCTTTTTGGGGTTTATTGCTTTAAAAAGGCCGGGGAGGCTGCTCCGGAGAAGGCGCTGGGTGGGGGGGGGCACCCCAATCGTGTGTGAGGGTCACCCTCTGCGGCAGCGCCCCAACCTTTTTGGCCAGGACAACCCCGTCTCTGTGTGTTGGGCTCCCTGGTGCTGCTGCCCCGCGGCGTGGGGAGCTGCAGGCAGCTCCTGCGTTGGACTGGGAGAGGTGTCCACGCGCTACCGGTGCAGGAGCTGCGCACGAAGCCTGGTGATGCTTGGGGAAGGTGAGGCAGCGGGAGGGGAGCAGCTTCATTGACCCAGCCAGGAGCCTGCGCTCGGACCCAGGGCTGGCGCCCAGCTCATCGCAGCTCTTGCTTGTCAATCAGCGCATTGCATGTGCTAAAGGCGCATCCAGAGCAAAGCAGGCTTGAGCCTCACAGTGTCCTCATCCTCATGTCCACGGTCTCCAGCTCCGAGCTGTCCCTGAGGCCATGCAGCACTGAACCCCCGGGAGATGCAACCAGCACCGTGGCACCAGCAGGGGATGGGGGGCATTGGGCTTGGCTCCGCGCAGCGCAGGTCCCCCGGGGCTGGGGCAGCTCCTCAGTGCTTGGCTCCGTGCAGCAGCAGAGGTGGGAGCGGGGAGGTGCTGGGGGGGCTCCGTGCCCTGCGCCCCGGTTTGAGGCTTCCTGCAGCCCTGGCGCTCGTGAGCTGGACGTAGATGAAATAAAAGCTTCGGCCGCTTTGAGAGCTGAGCCCGGCTCTCGTGTGTCCTTCGCTGGTGCCACCCTCGAGGGGCGTCACAGGTGCAAGGGAACCCTGGCTATGCCCTTGTATTCCCTCCCTATTCAGAGACCCTGGCCCTGCTGTGCCAGAGCTGGGCATGTTTGGAGCATCCCAGCTGGAGCATCCCAACAGCATCCCTTGTCTTTTATCGGGACTGGATCCAAGGGATCAGCAGAGCTACCCTGGAGCATCCCGGTGCTGGCAGCAACCAGGAGCCACCCTGGGGATGGCAGAGCATGGGTAGGGACCCCAAGGTCCTCCATGCCAGAGGGGACTCAGGGCTTCGCCCATGCCCGGTGCAGCCCATCCATCACCGTTACTGACTGCCAGTGCTGATAGAACACATAGCCATGGGGATGTGACCCCCCCCCCCAACCACCACGATCCCTGGGAGAGGACAATGGGAACCAGGGGCAGTGGCCATCACACACTGAGGGCAATCAAGGTGGGGGCAGCACCCTGAAGCATCCACGGTGTGGGGCAGCGGTGGGGCTGGAAAACGAGCCCTGGGAGAGCCATGGGATGGTTATGGGTTAGAAGGGACCTTCAAGCTCCCCCAGTCCCAACCTGGGCCCTGGGCAGGGACCCCTTCCACCGGAGCAGCTTGCTCCCAGCCCCTGTGTCTGACCTGGCCTCGAGCACTGCCAGGGATGGGGCTGCTCAACTCTTAAAAAACTTTATTAAAATGTCCAGCAGTACAGAAAGGCAGAGTCAGAAATGGGGGGGGGGGGGGGGGCAATGCCCGTCGCAAACAGCAGAGATCAGAAAGCGCCGAACGCACGCACACGCACGCACACACACACCGACTCCAACGGGGACCCGACAGGGGATGGGGACGGGGAAAACCAAACCAAGCCCGGCCTGGGCGGCAGAGCAGGACCCGGCCCTGGTGGCATCGTCAGTGCCAGGCAGGGTCCCCCATGGGCAAGGCTGGGGTGGGGAAATGGGGGGGGCTGCTAAAAAACCAGAGCCACCCTGGGCCAGCGAGACACGTGGCCAAGGTGGGAGATGGGGGGGAGGCAAATTAACCCCCCCTTTGGGGAGGGGACCAGAGCCCAGCCAGGGAACAGCCCCCAGGGGTGGATGGGGGGGTCCCCAAGCGGGGCTGGGGGCTCGACCCCAGGCGAGGAGGGGGCTGAGTATGGGGCATGCAGGGAGGGCTGGGGACGCACACGCAGCCGCCCCCTCTGGATCCTATTCCCTACGGGGCCGGGCATCCTAGGAGCTAAAGCCAAGGGGGTTATAAAAGAGAAGGGGTGGGAAGGGGTTGGGAAATGTCACCACGTCCCATCGGGGACCCTTGTGCTTCATTGTCCCGCGGCTCTAGAAGTAGTGGCCCTCCTCCATCCAGTCCAGCCGGAGGTGCTTGCGGTGTTTTCGCCGCTCCTTGCGGGGTTTGTGGTGGTGGTGCTGGTGGTGCTGGTGGCTGTGCCGGTGGTGGTGGTGCCGCCGCGCTCGGTGCGACCGCCTGGCTAACGGGGGCAAGAGGGGACACGACAGGGTCAGGAACCACGGCCCTGGGATGGACCCGGTGCCTTGGCCCTCCCTGGACCCCCCTTAGTCCCCACTAACGTTTTGTGCAGAGGATTTTGGGCCGGTCCCACTTGCCGGTGCTGTGGCACTTGATGGTGGGCACGTGGCGCTGGGTGAAGCCCTCCTCGCACTGGTAGCGCACACTGGAGTGGATGCTGTACTTCTCCTTCTTCTTCCCCACAGTGAAGGCATTCGCCACCTCCGGTGGGGGACCGCACAGCACTGGGGGGGGGGGACACAGACCCACGTCACCCCCCTATCACCAGACACCCAATGCCACTCTCTGCAAGCCGGAGCGTGGTGGATGCTTTAGGAGTTGGCATCGGGTTGGCAGCGAGATGTTCCCCAGGATTTACTTCATTAATTAACGGCCTTACTGGGGCAAGAGCATCATTAAACTGCGGCCGGCGCAATCCCAGCGAGCAGCTGGAGGTTAATAGAACTTCGGAGATAAGGGATGAGGCTTAATAGTTTTAATGGTGGGAAATGAAACAAACTGGAGTGGAGAGGAAGGAATTGACTGTGGGGAGGAAAAATGGAGATTAAGGGGAACTGCTTGAGGTTTTCTGGACTGAGGGCTGGGAGAGGTTTCCCTGAAGAGAAGGTGTCTGGGATCACAGAATCATGGGATGGTTTGGGTTGAGAGGGACCTTAGAGCTCCTCCAGCTCCAATCCCTGGCCACCTTCCACTAGACCAGGTTGCCCCATCCAACCTGGGCTCAGGATGGGGATGGAGACACCGGGGCAGGGGTACCTGTGCCCTTCTTGCAGATGTAGGGCAGGTTGTAGTTGCAGGGCACGTCGTTCCACTTGCCAATCTCATGGGACACCAGCACCACGCAGTCCTCACCGCCCGCAAAGAAGTTGTCGGGTTGGTTCTCCCGCCAGTTCTCATATTGCTGGTGGGACACGAGAGAGGGTAAGAACCCCTGTACCCCCCCTGCCCGCACCCTGAGCCCCACAGTGCCCCTCCGAGGGGCTCACCAAGCCAGTGTTGTCGGTCCACTGGAAATCCTGCTCCACAATCCTGTCATTGAGCCCGATCCAGGTGTTCTCGTGCCCAAAGCCTATGGAGAGAGGGACCCGTGGCTTGCATAGGAAAGCAGAGAGCACGCAGGGGTGCTGATGCTCGCAGAGCTGTGCATGGGGGCTACCGTTGATGAAGCTGTGCTCCTCCGGCGAGTGGATGCTGGTGAGGTGCCCGGCGCGGCGGCGGCAATCCCGCTCCGCATCCTCCCAGGAGCGCCGGCGGGAGAAGTACCGGTAGCAGTGACCCTGGAACTTGTGCCAGTTGTGGTCACAGCCCTCCGTGTCTGCAGGGACGAGGGGACGGTGAGGGCGGCCACCGCCAGGGCGATGCAGGCAGCAGCTCCCCTCACTCACCCCCATAGGGACAGGCACTGAGCAGTGTCCCATGGGCCCCCATGGCCACACACCCCGTTGGCTGCGCTCCCCACCTTTCTCGCAGCGGCTGCCGCCGTAGCTGGGCAGGCAGAGGCAGACGAAGGAGTTGACCTCATCGATGCAGGTGCCACCGTTCTGGCAGGGGCTGGACAAGCAGTCGTCGATGTCTGCGGGGACACGGGGGGGGCTGCGGCTTAGACCCCCTCACACCCCCAAACCACCGTCCCCTCCAGCACCGCTGCCCGCAGTGACCGAGGACGGGGGCTCCCCAGCCCCAAGCCCGCGGGTTCGAGGCCCGCGGTCACCACGCACCGATCTCGCAGTTCTCGCCGGTGAAGCCGGGGGCGCAGCTGCAGCCGCAGACGGTGCCGTTGGCGCGGCTGGTCCCGCCGTGCAGGCACGGGTTGGTCTGGCAGGGGTCTGATGGAGCTGCGGGGTGGGAGCGGGTGCCTTGAGCCAGGGTGAGGGGCGGGGGGGGCCGCGCAGCACCGAGGCAATGGGAAACCAGGGCAGATGCCCTGGCATTGCCGGCTGCCGCACACGGTGCCGGTTCCGCCTGCTCGAGGCTCTGCACTTCAGACGTGTGCGCTGCCCGTTTGCATCCCGCCAGCAGTCGCCTCTCCACTGGCATTGCTATTAGCAACTGCAAGCATTAACTGTGCAGAGAGGATGCTTTCCCCTCTTGTTCACTGCCCAGCTCCTGTTGAGGAGCCCAGGACCCGCTCCTGCCCCATCACCGCTGGTGGAAGCTCCCCAGCCAGTGAATTGGTTTGGGTCAATGGAGAGACGCCCCCAAACCTCCACCTCAGTCAACCCCGTAGGTTGGCACCGCACTGGGAGGGGAAACGACCCCGGGGTTCTCCTGCCCCCCGGCCCTGTGCCCACCAGCGCCGCGCTCACCGTGCAGGCTGGCGTTGTCAGTGCCTGCCCAGGCCAGCAGCTCCCGCTCCTCCAGTGCCGGCTCCTCGCCGCTCCCGCTGTCAGCATCCAGGAGCGGGGCTCCCTCCTGCTCTGCTGCCATGGAGGGCTCAAAGAGCGGCCCCGCACCCGGGGACTCCGGTGCCTCCGGCTCCCATGGGTGGGGGGCAGTGGGTGATGGCCAGGGGCTGCCGATGGTGGAGCCGAGGGGCACGGGGGGCTCTTCCCTCTTCACCTCTCCGGAGGCATCCTCCTCGCCAGGGGCTGTGAGTGCGTCCTCATGGCTGGGGACACCCGGGGGGCCAGGGCTGGTGGGGCGCTGCTGTGGGTCGGGGGGGGACAGGAGGAGACGCTCTGCTCCCCCCAGCCCTGGGGCAGCGCGGCTGGTGGGACCAGGGGCAAAGCCTGTGGATCCCTCCTCGGCTGCTGGCTCCAGCACCGGCCACTCAGTGTGAGCCCATGGGGTCACCTCACTGGGGACATCCCGCACCGGGAGGGACACGGCTGCTCCACTGCTGGACGGGACTGAGCCCTTCCCAGCATCCCGGTACTGGGCCGGCAGCTCGGGTGGCCCATGGGGAGCTGTGGGGCTCAGCCTGTCCTGGGGCTGGGGGGCAGCCACCTCGGTGGGGCCAGCGCTGGTGGGGTCCCCTATGGAGGGGCCCCCTGGGTGCAGGAAGGTCACCGCTTTCTTCTGCCTCTCCATCGAGCCGTCACCCGGGGCCCCGCTGCCGTTACTGCCGGCACCACGGTGCCAAGGGACCACCTCGGGGGTCTCGGCCACCAGCGGGGCCGGGGGCAGTGGGGGCCGGGGGGGAACGGGGCCACCGTCCTCCTGGGACACGGCATCACCGGAGAAGTCCTCGGTGGCATCGGCGGGGGGCCGGGGGGAGTCCCCGCGGGCGCTGGGGACACGGGGCTGAGCCCCGGTGGCGGTGACGTCCTGGTGACCGGGGGCACCGTGGGGAGCTGCAGGGGATGGGGTCGGCGGAGGGAGCGTCCGTGCGGGTCCCCCGGGGGCGCGGGGGCTCCACCACGGTGAATCCCTGCGGGCAGGCGCCTGTGGCGAGGGTGACGCCGGTGCCGGGGCCGGTGCCATCAGCTCTGCAAGAGAGGCACAGCCATGGGGTCCCCACGCTGGTGCAGCACTGGGGCTCTCCCGGCTGCTTTTGAGCATCACTTACTAGGGTCGATCTCCTCCACCGTGTTGGAGGGTGAGTTGGTGCCTTCCCACTGGGTGCTCTCAGTGCTGCCATGGGGGATGCTCCACATCTCCACTGCGTTGGCCGCAGCCTCCTTCACCTCCAGGGCCAGGACAGGGGCCTCAGTGACCGTCCTCATGGGGTCCCCAGGCACTGTGGGCTCCCGGCTCTGCCGCTGCAGCTGGAAGTAGCGCCCATTGAGCCCGGGGTAGCTGCTCTGCCGTGGGGCACGGGAGCTGGCCAGTGGGGTGCTGGGGGTCTCTGCTGCCACTCCAGGTTCTGTCCCCATCCCTTGCGGTGCCGGTGCTGAGCTGGTGACGTGCTCCTGGTCTGGGCTTTGGGACTGTGGCACGAGTGCAGCTGGGGGCTCCTCAGGGTCTCCGTGCACCGGCAGTGCTGGGCTGGTGCTGGCCAGATCCTGCTGGGAGCTCACTGGTGCCTGGTCCACCACATTGAGAGCTTCATCCTCATGAGGCCACGCTGGCGAGGAGGCTGTGGTGGGAGGCAGGGACGTGCCATGACCCAGCCCGCGAGCCGCCGGTGCCTGTGTCGGTGCAGCACCAGGAAGATCACCGCGCTGTGGCACCGGGCTGCTGCTGGGCGGCTGCAACTGCTCATCCTCATCCTCGCCCAGGCGCACGGGGCCTGGCTGCGGCAGGAGGCTGTAGCGGTTGTGTGCGCTGTCCCGGATGTCCCCCGACGTGCCAGCGTCCTCGCCGTGCTCCACCAACACGTTATCACTGCTCAGTGGGTCAGGCGCGGGCAGCACCGGCTCCTCCTGCTCCTCCTGTCCCTCGGCTGCGTGTGCTGCGGTGAGACCACAGCATCAGCTGTGCCAGCGGTGGGACTGAGGGGCAGGACAGGCACTGGGGGCACAACTGGGGACCCACATCCCCCCCTCTGGGTCTTGGCACCGGGCACTGCGTGGCTTGTGCCGCGCCAGGGTGATGCATGGAGCTGGGCTCCCTCCCAGCGCAGCTCTCCTCATTTATCTCATTAATTCCCCAATTAAATATTCATTCACAGCAATTTTCCCGGCCGTGCCCACCAATTCCCAAGGGAAGAAGGGCCGGGGCTGGGGGGGAGCCTACGGAAGGAACATGGTGCTGCCATTCCAGCCGATTCCCCCTTACCTTTATAGCAGTAGGCATCAAATCTGGAGGCGGTGGGGGGGAAGCCGGTGCGGTTGGGGAACTGGTAGAGGGTCCTGACACCGGAGGCATCGCCGCCGCACTTCCTGCGCGGGAGGCGGATGGGGTAGCGCACGCTGCCGTCCGCCAGCCAGCCCGGGTCACACTGGTCCAGGCCCTCCCGCCACGCCACATAGAGCTGCCCGGTGGTGGCCAGCGAAGCGCCCCGGCTCTGGCAGTGCCGCCGGGCCCCCTGCCAGGTGAAGCGCCCCGGTGCCGTGGCGTAGAACACGGTTCCTGCAAGAGAGCAGAGCCCGTTGGGGTCACAGTGACAGGAAGCTGTGATGGGCCTGACAGCAAAGGGGAGTTTGGAGGTCTCCGTGCTTGGTCAGTCGGCACCAGCACCGTGAGTGGTACAGCACTGGCACCCGTCCCTGCAGTCAAACTGCAGATGAGACATGCACAGAGATGCATAGAATGGTTTGAGTTGGAAAGGACCTTCAGGCCATCTCATTCCAACACTGGAGCAGTTTGCTCCAAGCCCCTGTGTCCAACCTGGCCTTGAGCACTGCCAGGGATGGGGCAGCCACAGCTTCTCTGGGCACCCTGTGCCAGCGCCTCAGCACCCTCACAGGGAAGAGCTTCTGCTGTATCTCCAACCTGAACTTCCCCTATTGCAGTCTGAACCCATCACCCCTTGTCCTGTCACTGATGACGAGCACCCCTCCAGCATCCCCAGCATCACCCCAGAGGGATGCCCCCAGACCCCCCCAGCGCGCACCCAACCACCGCAGTGCCGCTTGCCTCGCAGCTCCCGTGCGTAGCAGTACACATCATACTCTTCACCGGGCTCCCTGTGGCCGTAGCTGCGGACACCAGGCAGGCTGTTGCGGTCCCCGTAGCAGCCGGGCCGGGACAGGGTGATGGGGTACCTGCCGGAGAGGGGCACGGTGGGTGCTCAGCCCCACGGGGGGGCGGTCCCAGCCCGCAGCCCGCAGCCCACAGCCCATGCCCGCACCTACCGCACGCTCTGGTCAGAGAGCCAGCCCGCGTCGCAGTTGTCGTAGCCGTCCTCGAAGGCGGCCTGGAGGTGCCGTGGGGAGGCGATGACGGCGGAGTTGTGCAGGCAGGCGCGGCGGGCGGCGGGGAAGGTCAGGGCGTAGCGCTGCCCCGCGGGGCGGTAGTGGAAGACAACGCCTGGAAGGGCAGGGGATGGTAGGGCCGGCACGGGGTGCTTGGAGCACGCGCTGGTAGAGGGTGCGTGGGGTGCGTGGGGTGTAGAGCATGTATGGGGGCATGGCTAACACGGCTTGCAGAGGGTGCATGGGGTGTAGAGCATGTATGGGGGCATGGATAACACGGCTTGCAGAGGGTGCATGGGGTGCACGGGGTGCATTGTATGGGGTGCAGAGCTTGTAGGGGGCACATGGCTCTGACGGCTTGCAGAGGGTGCATGGGGTGCACGGGGTGCATTGTATGAGGTGCAGAGCTCGTATGGGGCACATGGCTCTGATAGCTTGTAGAGGGTGCAAGGGGTGCACAGGGTGCACGGGGTGCACGGTTTGCATTGTATGAGGTGTAGAGCTTGTATGGGATGCAGAGTTTCTATGAAGTGTAGAGCTTGTACAGGGTGCACAGCTTGTATGGGATGCAGAGCTTGTATGGGATGCAGAGCTTGTATGGGGTGCAGAGCTTGTATGGGGTGCAGAGCTTGTACAGGGTGCAGAGCTTGTACGGGGTGCAGAGCTTGTATGATGTGTAGAGCTTGTATGGGGTGCAGAGCTTATATGGGATGCAGAGCTTGTATAAGGTGTAGAGCTTTTATGGGATGCAGAGCTTTTATGGGATGCAGAGCTTGTATGGGATGAGAGCTTGTATGGGATGCAGAGCTTGCATGAGATGTAGAGCTTGTGTAGGGTGCAGAGCTTGTGTGGGGTGCAGAGCTTGTACAAGGTGTAGAGCTTGTATGGGATGCAGAGCTTGTATGGGATGCAGAGCTTGTATGAGGTGTAGAGCTTGCATGGGGTGCAGAGCTTGTACAGGGTGCAGAGCTTGTGTGGAGTGCAGAGCTTGTGTGGAGTGCAGAGCTTGTGTGGGGTGCAGAGCTTGTGTGGGGTGCAGAGCTTGTATGGGGTGTAGAGCTTGTATGGGGTGTAGGGCTTGCATGGGGTGCAGAGCTTGTACAGGGTGCAGAGCTTGTATGGGATGCAGAGCTTGTATGGGATGCAGAGCTTGTATGGGATGCAGAGCTTGTACAGGGTGCAGAGCTTGTACAGGGTGCAGAGCTTGCATGGGGGCCATGGCTTTTGCAGGGTGCCCAAGGTCTACCTGGCTCATGGCTTGCCCATCTCGCACAGCTCATAAAGGCTGCGCAGGGTGCAGCACCCACAGCGGCACCCATGGTGCTCGCAGTGCCCCGCAGCCCCAGTGCCCAGCTCACCCGTCACCTCCAGCGGCAGCAGGTCCTGCTCGTCCTCGATGCCGGCCACCACCTCGCAGCGGTAGAGCCCGGCGTCGCTGGCACGGGCGGCGCTCAGCACCAGCGTGGCGTTGGACCGGTCCCGGGGGTAGCCGGGCAGGGACACGCGGCCCTCGTAGGCTTTCACCACCTTCACCGCGTTGTCCTTGGCCACCAGGATGGGGACGTCCTCCCTCTGGCCCGTGGCCGAGCGCACCTTGCTCCATTTGACCCGGGGAGGGTCGGGGGGCTCGTTGGGCCCCAGCGAGGCCGAGGGATGGAGCAGGAAGAGGCAGGGCAGGGCCACGGGCTCCCCCAGCCCCACGCGCACAGCCTCGTGCTGCACCCTGTTGATGTGGATCACCTTCCCATCGTCCTGCGAGCCTGCGGGGAGACGCGCCCAGGTACCACGGGGATGGGCGGCGGGAGCCCCTGCAGCCCAGGTACCACGGGGATGGGCGGCGGGAGCCCCTGCAGCCCAGGTACCACGGGGATGGGCGGCGGGAGTCCCTGCAGCCCAGGTACCACGGGGATGGGCGGCGGGAGCCCCTGCAGCCCAGGTACCGCGGGGATGGGCGGCGGGAGCCCCTGCAGCCCAGGTACCGCGGGGATGGGCGGAGGGAGCCCCTGCAGCCCAGGTACCGCGGGGATGGGCGGCGGGAGCCCCTGCAGCCCAGGTACCGCGGGGATGGGCGGAGGGAGCCCCTGCAGCCCAGGTACCACGGGGATGGGCTGCGGGAGCCCCTGCAGCCCAGGTACCACGGGGATGGGCGGCGGGAGCCCCTGCAGGGTTCGCTCTGTTCTGGGCACTTCTGGGGACCCCAGGGAAGAGCGTGAAGCAGAACATTGCACAGCCCCCCTGTCGAGTGCCCACAGACCAACCTTGTCCCTTAAATCTGGGGCTCAACCCATAGCTGAGCCCAACCCCTCACACCCCAACCCAGATGCTGCCAGGCTGTAGCTGCTGCTCTGCACCCGTGGGTCCCATGATGCTCCCCATAGGGATACCAGCACTCCCCATCCCTGCCCACAGTGGTGAACCCGTCGCCAACATCTCGGCACCATTCAAGCCCTGTGGCCCCTTCAGCAAAGCCAGTCCCATGCTGGGATAAAATGTGGCAGCGCCACATCCTCCTCCTCCTCCCGCACTAATCCTGCTCCGGTCTGTGCAGGCTCCCAGCTCCATCACCACAAATCCCAGCACATGGAAATCCCCAGGGCCCAGCTCTCCCTGCCCACACTGGGGTGGGGGGACCAGGGCCTGCCACTAATCCCTGCCTGGCACCTTCCCCCCTTGCTCCCCATTTGCCATTGCATCCCAAGATGCACAAGGAGGGTGCCAGGGTGGGGGGATCCCAAAGCCTGGGGGCAGGGATGGGGGGGACAGGGGCTCATGGAGATGGCAAATCCCTGGGGGTCTCAGCTCCACAGCTGGATGCCAGCAGTGGGATTAAGGATTTAAGGTCTCACGTGCCAGGATCCCAGCATGGGGGGTCCATGGTTGCCGGGGGGGGCTTCTCCCTAGCTAATCCCCTTCAGTCCAGGCAGGGAGGCGGGTGGGGGGCCACAGGCTGAGCCCCCCCTTGGTTATTATTCACCCTTGCTCTTTATCATGGCTTTATCATGTGCATTATTTGCTGCAGTTTCCCATAGGCTCATGAGCCCTGGTGGCACTTACCCAGGACGACGATGGGGAGGAGGGAGAGCCCGAGCAGGAGCCAGCAGCCGGCATCCCCCATCACATGGACCATCCTTGACCTGCAACGAGAGCAGAGGGCTGGGAGGCAGCCGCTCACCTGCTCCCCGCCTGGTCCGTGATGCCATCAGGCCATAAATCACTGCAGGGCCAGGCTGACAGCAGCCTCCAGGAGCCACGGGGGGGAGCAGGATTAACCCCACTTCACAAGATGCCATTAGCCCAGAGGGAGTTTGATTTCACTGTGGGGTCGGGATGGAGGACGGGTGCCACCACCAACCGCCGAGGGTCCAACTGTCCCTGTGTCCCCTGCCACCAGTGCCACCCATGGTGACATCCCCCCCAGTGCACTGCTGGAGATGGGACCCGGATCCCATGGGGGGGGCAGCGGGCAAGTGCAGGGGTCCCGCAGCCCCCCAGCAGCACTGGAGCTGGCTCTTGCTCTGCCCCCAGCATTAACATGCAGCGGATGCCTCCAGCTGCCGGAGCTGCCTTGCGGAGCGGGGAGCACAAAGCCGGCACCGGCACTTGCTGAACGTCTCCCACCCATTGACTGCAGCAACGATCTGTGCTCCAAAATCACCCCATCTCCAGGCTCCGAGGGGACTCGGACACAGCCCCAGCCTGGCCGTGGAGGTGGCACGGACACAACCACTGCCTGGTTCCCACCGCATCCATCACCCGGCTCCCACCGCATCCACCACCCACCTCGGGCTTTGTCTGGGATTTAAACCAGGCTCCATCATCCATGCTGCCAAACCAGCCAAGCAGGGATGTTCCCAGCACCCCAAAACCCCACCTGGGTCCATGCTGGAGCTCAGATCCACATGGCCATGAACTTGAACCGGAGCCAGTGTCCCCCATGCACTGGCAGATCCACCATGGGGTTTGCTGGTCCCCACTACAGCATCTGGGTCCCCCCGATCTAACATCAGTTCCTTGTCCCCTGACCGGGACAGGGAGCTGGGGAGCACTTGGCTTTTAGGGGGCACACCAGGAGCCCCTCATCCCTCTTCCAGCTGCCCAGAGCCGAGGCTTCAGCTCAGCCCACAAATTCCCCCACCCCTGATGCTCCATTTTCCAGCCCTTGATGTCTCATTCTGTCCCTTCTGCTTTCATGGGACAAAAATAGATAGAAAGAGCCAAATGGCAAGAAAAAAAGAGCCCCCGTCCCCCCCCCCCCCCCAGTGTTCAGCACTGGAAAAGGGCCTTTGGGGGGGATGCAAAAGTGGGTTTTATCTTTCCTAAAGAAGAAAGCATTTGCAGCCCCTTCCCTCCCGCAGCAGCTCTGTGGGGCTTTCTGCCTCCAAACCCTGCTGCTGGTGGAAGCTGAGGAGCTGACCTGACCCCGCTCTGGCCATGGGGGCTGATTCCTGGGGTGTGGAGCAGGGAACAGGCTGTGGGTCACTGCCCCTTTGCCCAGCCACATCCCCTGGGAGCCAAACAACCCCAGGGCTGCTCTACAGCCCCCACAGCGGCTCCTTCCTCGCTCAGGGATGCTCCGGGGAAGAAATCCCCCAGCACCAAACTTTTCGCTGTCTTTCTACTGAGAGGGGCAGCAGAAACCGCTCGGTACCACGGGGAGGTCCCAGCTCCTCCCGCTGCAAGGCTCAGTTTGACTTTCTGGGCTGTCAGGGGGGCAGCCCCCGGTCCATGTCCTTCATCAAGCCACCAGCCCGGGACCTGCTGGGCGAGGCTGCGGCGGTGGGTGCGGGATGGGACATCCCACCCCTGACCCACCCACGCTCCCGTTCTGCCCTTCTCACCCATTTCCTCTTTCGCATCCCCCAACTCTCCCCCCCCCGCAGCTTCCAGGTGACTTTTCCCAACCGAGGGAGTTTTCCACGTGGGGCAACGACAGCGTCTTGCTCCCCAGCACCACTCCCCAGCATCCCTGAGACCTTCCCGTTCTCCATCCTCCTCCGTGCCCGCCTGTGGCCGCTCCAGCTCCCAGCAGAGCCCCATCCCCATCACAACCGCAGCACTATGATGGGGAGGGTCGTGGGCCAGGAGAGGACCTGGAAGACCTCAAAGCGCCACGCTAGGGTGCCAGTGTATAAATAGTCCTGGAAGCTGTGGGCTGTTTACCCAGCACCGCTGCTCTGGAGCTCAGCAAATGCCGGCAGCGGCGCTGGGTAAACAGCCCGGGCTTTATTTAAATGTTAAACAGGAAAGTTGCTCTTTGGATCTGCAGCCACTGCCCCGGCAGCGGCAGGGCTGGGCACACGCAGGGCCAGGCACGGAGGGATGCAGGGATGGATGGAGGGACCGTGACCCCGGGGCTGGCAGCACCCAGGGAGCGGTGGCTGCGGGGCTCTGGCTGCACCTTCCCTGACATCAGCACTTCCTCAGGTTCTGCTTTCGCAGCAGGAAGGTGCTGCGGTGGGAAGGGCCTCACCAGCAGCTCCTGCTGCCTCCTTGGGGTGCCCTCGGGGGGGTCCCGGGCTCCCCCCACCCCAGGACACACTGCGCCTCAAAGCACACAAGGACCACGTTCCTTATGGACCATGGCTCTGTTCCAAGCCAAAGAGACCAAGAAGGTCCCTGCCACGCTCTGCTCTCCCCAGGCCCACACTGGACCCCTGGCTGCTGCTTCCGCCAAGCCCGGCCCTGTGCTGAGCCAGCAAAAACTTTATCCCAAGGTCAGGGCGAGCATCCTGCATCCCTGCATCCTGCATCCCTGCTGGAGCCGGAGGCAGCACACGCGGTGTCCCCCGTGCGAGGACCCCCACGCCATGCCAGGGGCTGATGCAGGCAGCATCCTCCCAGCCTCAGCACCTCCTGCGTTACTGAGACCGTCTCCTTCCCACTTCCTCTAGATCCAGTAACCCACAAACCAGCTCCAGCAGTGCCCATGAGGCAGCCCGGCGCTGGCACAGCCAAGTCCCAGTCCCATGGAACCAACAGGATGAGTCCTGGTCAGATCCCAGCTCCTCACCACAGGCAGGGAATGCCGCTGCCAGAGTGGCTCAGCACCACCAGCATCCTGGATGTGCCAATGGGGGGGGCAGCATTAACCGGATCCCTGTGGGACAGGATCCATCCCAGGATCCCCATGGAAGGGACCATCGGCTCAGCCATGCCAGGCATCACCGCGCCGTCCCCAGCGGTGACAGCAGGGCAGAAAGGGGGCACAAGGAGCCAGCACTGCCCATGCCACCACGAACGCAAGGGGCTGAACTGCGCGCACAGGGCCTCTCTCTGCAGCCAGGGCGATGCCATGGGCTCAGAGCCATGTCCCTGGTGCCACGTGGCTGGAACCCTTTGGGGACACGGTGCCGGTCCCTGTCCCCATCCCAGCCCCTGCCCCAGCCGGGGAACGGCAGACGAGAGAAAGCTAAAATAACGGCGGTGCAAAGCCGCCCCCCATCAACCCCGGCGAGCATTTTCACATCTGTCACAAGCTGTCACCTCATGAATAATTCATCTGCCTCATGAATATGCAAAGCCGGGGCTGGCGATCAGCTTCAGCTGAAACCCGGCTTAATTCCTCGCAGGCCATCGGGCGCCGGGACCACCCGGCCCGTCTGGGGGTCTCCTCTCACCCTCGCCTGCCCCAAGCCATGGGCTGGGATGGGTGAGGCAGCACCCCCCGGTGTCCCCATGGAGCAGAGGGGACATGTGGGACAGTGCAGGGGGACAAGGGGTTGGGATGCATGGGAGGGGATGGGGGGGGCACTGCTCATCCACCAAAGCAACCTGCATGCAGCAGGACACGGGCCACCCCACCCTGGGATACCCCGGCCCTATCGGGGCCCACCATCCCGGACACCGACCCAGTGACCTCTGCTGTCCCCACGGGTCACCCAGTGCCACCAGCACGCACACAGCATTCCCGTGCCCACCCCCTTAGCACATCCCCCCTCACCGTGGGCACCCCACGGGGCTGATCCAGCACCACCCCACACCCAACCCCAGCAGCCCCCCCGCAGCACCCACCTCCCTCCCAGCGCCACGGTGCCTCCACCACCCCAGCGGGGACCGGGTGTCTGCCGCCAAGGGCCCCCCGGGGGGCTGCGTGGCCCTGGCAGGAGCCCGGCAGCGGGGCCGGCTCCGCGTCCCCTCCTCTCTGCCCACAACAAAGGAATTCTGCAAACCTCGCTGCCGTCACATCTCACAGGCAACGTGATGCTTCCCGCTCCCCCCAGCCTGCCGGAATAAATTAGCACCTCGGGAAACTGTGATCCCGGCCAATATGGGCCCTGCGCTGGGTGCGATTTTTATTAGGCAGACAGTCTGCAGCCTTCAGGTTAGAATCTGCTCTTCTTATCCTCCCCCCCCTCATTTCTATCTCCTCCCGTGAAGCCAAAAGCACCGCGGGAGCTCAAGTGCCGGAGCAGCATCACGGCAAGCCCCGAGCCCCAGCCCCGTGGCCCTGAAAGGATTTGCCTGTGCCTGGCACCACCAGCGGGGAGGAGAGCACCGGGGCTGGTGGGCCTGGCACAGAGATGGGCCTGGCACGGAGATGGGCCTCCAGCACCGGCCTCCTCACCGGCGCCGGGTTTGCTGAGCCCCCGCATCGGTGTGTGGGATCAAGGAGCCATGAACCCCTCACCAGCACCCACAGCCGTGCATCCCGGAGCCCTCCAGCCTGCCTCACGGTGTCCCCATGCCAGGGCATGCAGGATGGGACTCATTCTGCCCGTGGTGGTGCTGAGCCCTCGCTGCGCTGCCAGCCTTGTCACCTCCCCGGTAGCCAGGGGTACCCCAGGGATGTCAAACTTCCCAGCTCCTTCCCTGCCAGGGAACCACCGGCAGCACCAGTGGGGAACCTTCACACCCAGTGCCAGTGTCCCCCAGTGCAGGGGCCCCCAAGCCTCTCCAGCCCCTATCAGCTCCAGTCCCTGTGTCCACAGCCCTGGTCCCTCCACTGTCGTCCTGTTCTGGTGTCCCCAGTGTCCCCTTGTCCTGGCATTCCTACAACCCCAGTGGCCCATCCTCATTGTCCACCTGCCCCACTGTCCCCATTGTCCCCTTGTCCTGGCATCCCTACAACCCCAGTGGCTCCAACCCCATTGTCCACCTGCCCTGGTGCCCCCAACCCCACTCCTGATCCCCCCGCAGCCCCTACCGCAGCATCCTCTCCAGCCCCACAGCCCCCAGCATCCCCAGCCCTGACAGCCCCAGTCCCCACAGTGTCCCCAACCCTGTCAAAGCATCTCTCCACCCCAGGGCCAGCATCCCCCATCCCGGTACCCACAGTGTCCGGTACCCACAGTGTCCGGTACCCACAGTGTCCCCACCCCAGTCTGTGTCCCCCGCAGCTCCCTTGTCCCCACCGCGTTCCCCAGCTCGGGTCCGTCCCGCTTCTGCCGTAGCGGTGCCGCCGGCCCCGGGCACCGCAGCGGGGACCGTGCCGGTGCCGCACGTACCTGGGGCCGTGCTCACGGCGCTCGGAGGCTCATCCCCGCCGGTGGAGCCGAGCACCCCGCCGGTACCGGAGGCTTAAAAGCGGGGTCGCGGAGGAAGGAGGAGGAAGGGGAGGGGGGGGGGGCAGCGGGCCGGGACCCCCCCCGGAGGGGGCCGAGCCGGGCCGGGCCGGGCCAATCGCGGCTGGCGGCAGGCGCGGCCCCCCCGCCGGTGCCGCCGGTGCCGCCCGCCCGCACCTGCCCGCAGCGGCGGAGAACCCGCGCCCGCTCCGCGCCCCGCCGCGCTGCCCGGCGCAGGGCGAGGGGCGGCCGCGCATGCGCTTCCCCCCCCCCAAACCGGGGCCATCCCCCCCCTAAACCCGGAGCCGCCCCCTCCCCATCCATCACATCGCGGGGGCTTCGGGGGGTCCCTGTAATGATGGGGGGTGCTTAAAGGGGGGTGATGGGTCCTTTCCAACCACTCCGAGCCCCCCCCAGGTAGGCTGGGGGCCCCCTCTGCATCCAGCATCCCCACCTATCCCTGCACGGGGAGCCGGCTGCATCCAAGGGGGATTCTAGGGGATCTCCACAAAAAGGGAGGGGTGACCTTACAGCCCTTCCAGCCTTTCTGCAGCCCCCCCAAAGTCACTGTGGGGTCCTTCCTGTCCTAGACGTTGTGCCCCACACTATCCCTGCCCTGGATGCAGTGGGATTTTAGGGGGTTTCCAAACAGGGAAGCATCTTCCAACCACTCTGCACCCCAAAATCCCTACTAAGCCATAGAGGGTTCAACCAGCAGCATCTCCCACTCCCTTTGCACCCCCATATGGCCCCGTGCGGCGGGGAGGGGGTGTCACCTTCCTGATGGTGAATGGAGAATGCCACCCTGTCTCCCACAACTTGGCAACAAACACTGAAAGAGTATTCCCCCCCCCTCTCCCCCCGCATTTTGCCCATAGGATCCACGGAAACCCGAGAGCAAAGTTCTCATTTCCGACTCCATTGTGCCAGAGTTTTTGCGGCGTTTCCTGCCTTTTGTGAGCCCCCCCTCCCCGGCACAGCCCCGCACAGAGCTCTTCTGTTCCCCTTCTTTATGCGCCTGCAGCTGGCATCCCCCCTCCCCACATAGGTGCCTGAGTGTGGGGGACAGCCACAGGGGTTAATACCCCCATGGTGTTTGCCAGGATTGGGAAGAGGATCCCATGGGATTTGTGATGTTCTGGTTACTCCCAGCGGATCCAGGTGGCCGGTGCTGCCACTCTACAGATCTATCCTGCTTTGGAAAGGGCACCCATGGGTGCTGGTTAGGGTTTGTTGCACTGATGGCTGCGGAGAGGATGGTCCAGCGTGGATGAGCTGGTTCGTGATAGAAGCAGGACCACTGCCCATGTGCTGGCTCTGAAATGCTCACCCTGTTCATGCAAGGAACTGGGCACTCTTTGGGGTGAAGATGCTCCCATTGCCCCCCACCACAGCCAGGTCCTGTACCCACAGCAAAACCCACATCCCACCCTCCTGCTGCCTCCCTGCTGACCAAATGTTGCCTCCACCTCTTCATCTTCCTTTCCCAAGCTTCATCCGGGTGGCACGGGCAGGGTGCGATCCGCACAATCCCACACTGGGGATTAGATGGGTTCACCCATGAGCTTGGCTCCCCCCAGCACCCATGGGTCACCCTTCACCAACCAGAACTGGACACGGTGACAAAACTGCTCCCAGCCTTGACCCTGACCCACAGTGGGTCCATGGAGTGAAGGGGCCATGGAAGAGCAGAGCCAGACTCAAACCTCTCCATGGGCTTGGAGCAACAAGGGGGGAGTAGAGGGACCCTGGGCACCCACGCATCCACCTCTGGTGGGACACAGGGCCCTGGCAGGCCTCTCTGCTGTTTGTCTTGCTGAGGAAGGTGCTGGCAGTGAGATATGGGAGCTCTCCTCTCGAGTGCAGATAAACGTCATCACAGACACCAGCCAGTGCATCTTATGGATGGGGATTTAACAACACCTCTCCCCTGCGCCAGCAGCTCCACGCCTGGGGACTGCAGCCCTTGGTGCTGGGGGTGGGACCAGCTCTTCCACTGGCACCCATCTGGAGCCCCAGTATCCCCCTTGCTGGTCCCTCCAGCTGGGAGGTGACTTCATGGGGTCCCCCTCCCCTCTGGGCCCAGTCTGGAGCCCCAGCATCCCATCAGGGCCATTCCATGGTGGGAGAGCCAGCTCTGCCTGGCACAGGGTGATGTCCCCAAGTCCTCATCCTTGCCCTGCTCAGGGTGCAGTCCACACCCCCAGCCCCACGTCCAGCCCATCCTTGCGGCATTGCTCCAGGAGCACCAATGGCTCTGCCCAGAGCTTCTCCAACAAGGCAGCACCCACTGTCCCCAGGTTCCTGCTGCACCCCATGTTCCCACTGCACCCCATGTTCCCAGCCTCACCGGGGGGCAGCAGCGGATGGGGTGACTCCATCCCTCGGTCCTGCTCCCTTGCTCCCAGCCCTGGCAGGTTTGGCACCGTGTGTGCCAGGGCGAGCAGGGCCCTGAGCATCGTTTTGAGCCGGAACGCTGGGTTTCTGGTGAAATCCTGCAGCAGTGTTGCCGTGACGACCCTCCTGCAGTTTCCATCCAGAGATGTTTTCCTTTGTTGTGGCAGGGACGCAGGGAGGTGGCCATGGGGCGATTGGGGTGTGCAGTGGCAATGGTGGGGGGATCCAGCTGCGAGGTGCAGAGACCTGATGGGGCTCCAGCTCCAATGTGGGGCTGGGGGGGTCCCCATGGGTCCAGCACAGCTCTGGCTTGGCCCCAGACAGCCAGGGGACAGCAGAGGGGCCAGGAGCCACATGATATGAGTTTGACAGGTCTCAGCCAGGTCTCGCTCCTATCAAGAGCCACAATAGAGAGGTGATGTGGCCAATGGCCAACCCACAGTGCGGGGACAAGCAGGGGAGCAGCACTGCAGGGAATGGAGAGGTTGGCCCTCTGTGAGCAACCCTTGTCACCCCATTAACAGAGCCAGTGTGGGGGGGGCGGTGAGGCTAGGACCCTCCCCAGCTCCAGCGCTGCCCAGTTTGGCAGCCAGGACCGCAGCACTGTGACCAGGGTGCTGAGCAGCATCACCGCTGCCATCCTGCGGGTGCTGAGCACCGAGGGACCGGGGTGCCAGGGACCCTCCATGTGCAGCCCCAGTCCCCGCACTGCCGGGGGGACCCCATCCCGCGCCCCATGGAGCCGCTTGTTATTCCGCTCAGGTCCGCGGGCGGCTGATGGAGCCCGTTCCAGGAGAGCTGCCACATTCATCGGGAGAGAGGCTTATTAATGAGGCCTCTGCCACTGCAGCTGGGGCCAGCGCTCGGGGCACTGCCACGGGGACAGGCAGCGGGCGGGAGGGCGGCTGGGTGCACGATGGATGCATGGATAGATGGATGGATGCATGGATAGACGGATGGAGGGATGAACGCCTCCATGACAGGGCAAACTGGCATCTCGTGCCTTGCCCAAAGCCGGGGCTGGAGCAGGGCAGGTTGCCCCGATCCCAGGTCTGCTCTGGAGGGGATGGGCTGAGACCCATGGACACCATGGACACTTCCATCCTCCCCTCAGCCACTCGCCCACCGCTTCTCACCCCGGCTGTGGCTGGTTTCTGCTTTTGGCTGGTGCCAAACCTGCCCCACAGCACGACCTGGGCATGGCAGTGAGGGCATGGAAGGGTCTGGGGGTGCAGCATCCCCCTGGGGACACAAAGACCCTGCCCTGGCCAGGCCCAACTTCCCTCCCAACCCAACAGCAGGATGCATTGATTTTATTTTCTGTTTCCATAGCAACTGCCTCCTTCCCTTCCCCCTTCCGGCAGCCGGACCCGCTCCTTCGCCCTCCCGCAGCACCCACTCCACGGTGCAGGGGGTGATGTGGGGCGAGCAGCCAGCAGGGACTGGGAGCAGACATGGGACACGGCGCTGGTTCATTTAAGGCAGGGCAGTAACTGCCCCGCTGACTGACTACAGCATGTCCCATTAGCAGAGCCAAGCTGATTAATGGCACATCCCACCCCACACCACTGATGTGCCATGTCTCCAGCATCCCTTGTGCGTGGCACCGGCAGGGAGGACACGGGCACCACAGCAATACAACCATGAGCCCAGTGTCCTCACCCCTTTGGGAGAAACACCAGTTTGTGACTTAAAATCAGGGTTATTATAAGATAGTTATAATATATCCTTTATCGATCCCCTCCCAGAGGGTGCACCCATCACTTCTCGGCACCGCTCCTTCCCAGCGTGGAGATGCCACCACATTGGTATTTAGCATCAGTTACCGGCTGTGCCAAATCCTGACCTTCTGGTGCCTCAGGGACCCGCGACCCCTCTGCTTAGGGAGGGGAATGAAGGCAGAGGAGAACAGGCAGGGCCCTGTGCCGGGCCGAGGGGCCGCGGTGCTGAATGCGGCCCGTGCCGCAGTCACCGGTAATCCCAGTGTTTACACGGCAGTGGGAATCAATCGGAGCGAGTCATTAACGGCGAAGGGCAACAGACCCGCGGCTGCTTCGGAAGCCGCTGCCGGGCCAGGCCGGGGTCACGGTGCAGAGCTCACACGCCGGCACCCGCCACACAAAAGGCACCGGCGTTCGCTTCCTGCACCGCCGGCACCGGCACCGGGCCAGCGCCCCCGTGGCTCACGGCTGCGAGCTCAGGGCCGGTGGGAGCGGGGGGTCTGGATGGGTGCCGGAGCCTTGGTTTGGCAGCAGCCGTTCCATTAGCTCTTGGATAGGAAGCAAAGGCCCCCCTCGGCGGGCTGGATGGCAGCCGGGAGCCAGCGCCACCGCCAAGCTGCTGCCGGCACAGCCCCAGGCAGCGCCTGCCTCGTTCCTCGAGAGCGAGAGGGTGAGGAAGATGCTGAGGCTGAAGAGCCCCCGGGGCCGGGGCGCTGCCCCCGTTCCGCTCAGGGTCACTGGGGTGATGGGGACAGGGACAGGAGGTGACGTGGGGAGCAGATGTGTCCCCAGCACAGTCAGCCCAGGGGCAAGCATGGCTCCGGCGGGTTTTGACCCAATTCTTCAGGCAAAAGTCGGCGGGGGGAGATGGGGAGGGAGGAGGAGGAAAACGGAGCCCATCACGCGTGTGCTGGTGTGTGTCAGCACATGCGTGTGTGCTCCCTGGCATGCGTGTGCACAGGCAAGCACAGCGGCTCCAGGTGCCGGTGAAGGATCAATTGAAGCAGATCCTGTGTTCTGGGTGAGGCTGGGAGGTGATTTCTCCCTGCACAGCTGCTCCGGGCTTCCCACTGCGATGCCCGTGGGATTGCCGGCCCTGCTGTGAGGCTGCCATGCTGGGAAGCAGGAGGGTTGGAGCTCCCGGAGCTTTGTGCTCGTGACTTGCATGGAGGAGGATGGTGGAACATGTAGGGATTGAGTGTGCAGGGATGCAGGAGCATTCAGGGATGCTGGGGTGTGCACGGTTGTAGGAGTGTTCAGAGATGCAAGAGCATTCAGGAATGCTGGGGTGTGAAGGGATGCAGGAGCATTCAGGAATGCTGGGGTGTGAAGGGATGCAGGAGCATTCAGGAGTGCTGGGGTGTGAAGGGATGCAGGAGCATTCAGAGATGCTGGGGTGTGACGAGACGCAGGAGCATTCAGGCATGCTGGGGTGTGACGAGATGCAGGAGCATTCAGGGATGCTGGGGTGTGAAGGGATGTAGCAGAGTTCAGTGATGCTGGGGTGCACAGGGATTCAGGAATGCTGGGGTGTGAAGGGATTCAGAAGGGTTCAGGGGCATTCAGGAATGCTGGGGTGTGAAGGGATTCAGAAGGGTTCAGGGGCATTCAGGAATGCTGGGGTGTGCAGGGATGCAGGAGCATTCAGGAATGCTGGGGTGTGCAGGGATGCAAGAGCATTCAGGAATGCTGGGGTGTGCAGGGATGCAGGAGGGTTCAGGGATGCTGGGGTGTGAAGGGATGCAGAAGCATTCAGGGATGCTGGGGTGTGAAGGGATGTAGGAGAGTTCAGTGATGCTGGGGTGCACAGGGATTCAGGAGCATTCAGGAATGCTGGGGTGTGCAGGGATGCAGGAGCATTCAGGGATGCTGGGGTGTGAAGGGATGCAGGAGGGTTCAGGGATGCTGGGGTGTGCAGGGATGCAGGAGGGTTCAGGGATGCTCCACGTGCAGGAACACCCCAGTGTGCAGGGATGTTGGAGCATGCGAGGATGGACGCTGGGGTGCCCAGGGATGCTGGGATGCGCTGGGATGCGCTGGGATCCCTGCCCTCCCCGCTGCCATTCCCAGCCGCGCTCCCACAGTGCCACCTACCGCGCTGGCCCGGGAGGGCACCGGGCCCCCACCTGCAGCCCCCAACCCCAGCCCGGCGGGGTCCCCCTGGAGCCGGGGAGGGGGAACCCCCCCGAACCCTGCGGGGGCCGGGAGCGGGGCTTGGGGGGGACGAGGCCTTTGCAGAGGGGGTGAAGCACCGGGGGGGGTCACCCCCGGGTGTGCTGCATGGGGGGGGCCCTGCGTGCAGCCTCCCCATAGCCTCGCAATGCGGGGGGGGCTCAGGGGGTGCCGCAGATCGCAGGGCTCTGCCCGCTGCTCCCGCAGATCCCCGAAACGGCGAAGGGGGAGAGGGGGGCGGATATCGGAGGGGGGGGGGGTGGGTCCCGGGGAAGCTGCTCCGCCTCTTCCTGCGCCGGGCGGGCGGTGAGTGCGGGCGGCCGGAGGGGACGGGGATGGGCGCTGGGAGCAGCTGGAGCGGGGTCCGGTGGTGCTGCGATGGTCCCGGTGGTCCCCATGGCTCTTAAGGGTTCCGCAGTGAAGCCCGAATGATTCTAATGCTGCTGGGCGTCCCTTGTGATGTTTCGGGGGGGTCCCCAGTGCTGCTCAAGGGTCCCAAGCACTGACGAGTCCCTGATGTTGCTCGGGGGTCCCCAATGCTGCTTAGGGATCCTCAGTGCTGCCCGGGATGTCCCCAGTGTTGCTTGGGGGTCCCCAGTGCTGCCCGTGAGTCTCTGTTGCTTCCCAGGGGTCCCCAGTGCTGCCCAGGTGCCTCTAATGCTGCTGGGTATCCCCGGCGCTGCTGGAGTGTCCCCAGCACTGCCTGGGGCTCCCCAGTGCTGCTCAGGATGTCCCCAGTGGTCCCCATTTTCACCCCTCGCTGTCTCTGCAGGCAGCGATGCCCGTGGAGCCCCTGATCTGCTCTGACACTGCCACACGGTGAGTCCCGGCCCCGGGGGGGGGGCAGAGGGGCCTCGTGTCCCCACACTGGCGCTGTCCCCATTGCGTGTCCCCGCAGGGTGAGCTCCGTGCTCAACCGGGATGTGAAGCACTTTGGGAAGAAGCACATGTTCGATGCGAGCGAGGAGACGTGCTGGAACTCGGACCAGGTTTGGGGATGAGGATGGATGCGGGAGCTGGAGGGTGGGATGGGAGCTGTGCATACGGTGAGCCCCCCGTTGTGACAGAGCCCTTGGGGTCACTCCTGCCCTCAGGGCACGTGCCAATGGGTCACCCTGGAGTTCCCCTGCTCTGTCAAGATCTCGCAGCTTCACATCCAGTTCCAGGGGGGATTCTCCAGCCGGGTGTGCACACTGGAAGGTGAGGAGCTGGGCTGGGGGCACGGGGTCCCTCTGCCTCAGTTTACCCACACCTACATCCCACAAGGGTTATTCCCACACTGCTGGAAGGGCTGAGGCCATGGGCTGGAGCAGAGAGTGGTGAACAGCAGGGACCTGGGATGCTTTGGAAGCTGCTGGGGACCTGGTCCTGGCCCTGCAGCAGAGCAGACACAGGGAGGATTTTGTCCCCTGCAGGGTGCAAAGCAGGCGAAGCACTGGAGCGAATCTCCACCCTGTACCCCGAGGACAGCAACGCCATGCAGATATCCTTTGCTGTGTTGTGGGCTGGGTCGAGCCCCTTGGCAGAGGGGGTTCAGAGCCCCCCGAGGCAGTGGAGGGCAGGGGGGCTATGGCAGAGCTGTGATTTAAATGTAGACCTGTGGGGGCTGCTGCTGCAGCTTTGGACATCCCCAGCCATGGTGCACCCCTTGGAGGGGGTCTCCATGTGTCCTGGCATCCCCCTGCCTGTTGCAATCCTTTACAGGCCCCCCACAGATTCCAGGTGGAGGAGACGGTGCTGGATAAGCTGAAGATCACGTTTGAGAACAGCACGGACTTCTTTGGGAGGATCGTTGTGTATCACCTCGGGGTGCTGGGGGAGAGGCTCTAGGGCAGCACAGGGGGGCTTCTCCCCATCGCCTGTGTTCCCCATGTGGAGGGGGGGACAGACATACAGCCCCCAGCTGCACCCCGAGGGACTGAGAGGAACCCCCTGTCCCATGGGGTGGCAGTGACAGAGGGACACTAGTGCAGACATCCATGGGCTGGACTTTGAGCCCATGGTGGGACACAGCCTGTGTGACTGCATGGATGGATGGATGAATAAATGATGTCCCTGCTCCTTCCTGGCTGCTCCTTGGGCAAGTGGCACCCTGGGACTGAGCCCATGGCCTTGCTGGTGCGTGGCTGGAGGAGAAGAGAGAAGCGTCCCCCCCTGGGCTCTGCCTGTCTCTCACCTTTCCCAACTTCTCAGAGCAGCTCCATGCAGCCTCACAGGCTCCAGTGCGGGATGGCACCGTGCTGGCTGCCAGCTGGGGCTGTGCTGTGCTCCTGGCTGGCAGGGTGATGCTTCCTGCTGCCTTCTGCTCCTGCCTGTGGGTATTCCCTGGCTGGTTACAGCCCTGTGTGGAGGGAAGGCTTGGCAATTCATGAGCATAAGAGGGAGCTCCAGAGAGGAATACCAGGCCCTGAAGAGGTTGGTTGGCCCAGTTCCCCTCGTGGTTGCCCAGAAGCTGGTGCTGGATCAGGGCCTGGCAGCTGTGACAGGACAGGGCTCCACATGGCTGCTTTCAGGTTTAATTCCAAGGACATGGTACCTGTTTGCGTGGTCTGAATGCAAACACAAGCGCAGCAGCTGAGCAGAAGAGTGAGTGTCCCTGGTGTGAGGCCTCATGGCCGTGTCACCTCCAGAAGAGGCACTGATGCACCCAGGACAGGCAGTTCCCAGCTTCCTCCATGTCCTTCCTTGAAGCATCGTGCCACTGCCCATTCCAGAATGGCTGGGTAAGGTCACAGTGTTCCCAGAGGAGAGCCCTGTGCCAGGCAGGAGCAGTGCTGGAGCTGCAGCAGGAGCAGCCGCTGTCATTCCAGCTCCTTGTTCTGAAACAGCTTGAGGATGTGGTTTTCCATAACCTGTTGGACTAACGGAGGGGAGAGAAGTGACACGGGGAAGCCAGGCTGTGAAAAGCCAGGACTGCTGTGTGCAGGACCCTGTTTTCCAGTGGGAGGCTGGAGAACTCCTTTATCCTTTGTCCCTGTGTCCCCACCCTATCTCCAGCACAGCTCTGGTTTGGAGGAGGAGCAAAGGGACCAGGACCCATTGATTTCTTCAGCTTGGTTTCTCTGTGTGGCAGAGCAGGGAGCTGTGCTGGAGAGCCAAGGAAAGCCCCAAGCAGGGCTGGAAGCTGGGAATTGCCTGGAGGCTTCTCAGGGCTCTCTGCCAGGCAGGGGGGGACACACTTGCCTTTCTTGTGTCCCAGGGCCACAGCCAGATCCATCGGGGTGTAGCCAGAATCTGCCTCTTCCGTCAGGTCAGCGCCGCGAGCTGCAAGCAGTGGGGATCAGTCCCCTGCAGGTCAGCACAGGGTGAGGGGACCCCCAAAAGGTGCCCGTCCTTGGGCAGCTGCTCAGGCCTGTGAGGTGGTCAGCACCGAGCAGAGCTTCCCCGTTACCTAGGAGGGCCTCGACGCACTTGACGTGATTGCCACGCACGGCGTAGAGCAGGGGAGTGCCACCGTTCTGCAGGGAAAGGGAAGGGGCTGGGTCACTGCCAGCCTCATGTGGGGCCGCCCTCACCCAGCTCCTGCTGCTCACAGGAAAGGTTTCATTCCCTTTGTTCTACACTAACTTCAATTGTGTCATTGGGAAGATAAAGTTCTGAGCACCGTGTCCTTGTGGCTGGAAACACCACCAGTGGGGAGCCTGCTCTAGTGGAAGGTGTCTCTGCCCATGGCAGGGGTTTGGAACTGTGTGATCTTAAGGTCCTTTCCAACCCAAACCGATGAGAGCAGTGTAGGGGAGAGGGACCTGGGGGTCCTGGTGGACGACAGGGTGACCATGAGCTGACACTGTGCCCTTGTGGCCAAGAAGGCCAATGGCATCCTGGGGTGTATTAGAAGGGGGGTGGTTGGTAGGTCGAGAGAGGTCCTCCTTCCCATCTACTCGGCCCTGGTGAGACCTCATCTGGAATATTGGGTCCAGTTCTGGGCCCCTCAGTTTAAGAAGGACAGGGACCTGCTGGAGAGAGTCCAGCGCAGGGCAACTGAGATGATGAAGGGAGTGGAGCATCTCCCTTATGAGGAAAGACTGAGGGAGCTGGGTCTCTACAGTTTGGAGAAGAGGAGATTGAGGGGTGACCTTATTAGTGTATATAAATACATAAAGGGGGAGTGTCACGAGGATGGAGCCAGGCTCTTCTCAGTGGCAAACAATGATAGGACAAGGGGCAATGGGTGCAAACTGGAACACAAGAGGTTTCACTTAAACCTGAGAAGAAACTTCTTCTCAGTGAGGGTGACAGAACACTGGAACAGGCTGCCCAGGGAGGCTGTGGAGTCTCCTTCTCTGGAGACATTCAAAACCCGCCTGGATACGTTCCTGTGTAACCTTATCTAGGTGTTCCTGCTCCGGCAGGGGGATTGGACTAGATGATCTTTTGAGGTCCCTTCCAATCTCTAACATACTGTGGTACTGTGATTCCTCCCACATCTGCCTGAGCAGGCAAGCGTGGCACTCACCCAGTCGTAGATGTTGATGTCCACGTTCCTCTCGAGCAGCAAGGTGACGATGTCGGTGTAGCCGCCCATGCTGGCCAGGGACAGGGCGCTCTCCCGCTCCTTCGCCAGCGCGTGGGGGTCAGCACCCTGGGGACGGTACCAGTGTTAGGGTGAAGGAGCCCCAGTGCTGTGATGGAGCTGGGTCACACAGGGCAGAGGCAGCTCACATGTTCCCAGTGAATCAGGTGTGTCTTAATCATCATCAGCATCTCACGTGAGGACTTGAAAGCTCTTCTTCATAAATGAAGCCTTATGTGGTTCCTATTACTCAGGAACCCATCACTAGTCAAGGTGTTCCCAGCCCTATCGAGATGCCTGTATAGTATCCACTGTTTCTTTTAGTACTGATTTACATAGGAAACCTCCCTGTCCTCCAAGCCCTTGCCACCACATACCTCTCCTGGACTTCATTATGCCCTTTATCAATATACCACCTTATTTATTTTGGGTTCTGTTTGTCTCTCTAGTCATGCACTTCAGACTTGCTGCTAATATGGTAACAGGGTTTGGGCAGTGATTACGAGCTGTGAGTGCTTGCTAACAGTTGGATATGGGACAGAGCTTTGGGGAGCAGCTTGATCCAGAGCACAGGAGGATCTGGTTCCTGCTTACCCCCAGACAGCCCTTGACTGCAAGCCCAGCACTCAAGGACGTTGCAGCAATGAGTTCATTAGCTGCAATGATGCCTTGGTGAGCACATTTGCAGGCAGATTACAGGGCCCCGGTGATAAGCCTGATCTCAAATTACCAATAAGCAGATATTTAATTACAAGCAGTTCTTGCTAGCTGTGAGGTAAGTCTCTTCATGCTCTTGACTTAGCTCACAGCCCAATGGGGAATAGCATCTGACAGCACCTGAGCTGTTTGCTTTGCAAACGTGTCCCATTTGGTGCCATGGGAAAGATTGGCTGAGACAGTGCCAGGATGGTGCTGGACAGTTTGGCAGCCACTGGGACTGGAGGCCGGGGGTCTTCTGTTAACAAGGTGCTGCCTAAGTGTGGTCTTACCCATTCCAGCAAGTGCCGGACTGTTTCGATCTCTCCAAAGGCTGCAGCCCAGATCAGCGGCGTGAAACCTCTCTCATCAGGCTTATTGACCAAGTTCTCGCCTGCACAAACATGGGTGAGACATGAGGGATAGGAAGGGTAAAGCCCCTTCTGCTCCATGTCCTCCCAGTAAACCCAGCAAAGGCTATCAAGCTAAGCTGAGGGTTTATGAGAGTGACTGGGGTGAGACCCCAAAGAGCCACAGGTACCTTTCCGAAGGTGCTCCTTGAGTTGGCCGAGCTCCCCCTGGGCAGCGAGCTGGTGAATGGACAGTGCTGGGGGACAGACAGAGTTCACCCATCAGGCTCAGACACTCCCCGGCTCAGCACCCGCTGCCTGCCTGCGTGTGGGCACTCACTGTCCAGCGTGGCCGGGAGGGCTGAGACCTCGTTCCCTCGCTGCCTGTTGGTCAGCGTGTTCGAGTGCTTCAGGGGGAAACCTGCTCCCAGAGAGAGGACAGAGTCAGGACACGTCTCCTCCGTGCACAGGGAGGAGCCACACTGACTTGAGACCGAAAGCCTCCTGCACGCTCAGCTCTCCTGTGCATGAGCTGAAGCTGTTCCCTCCTGTCCCTGGCAACAACAGAGCCATCTAAACCCGAAATTATTCCTCTGCAACTAAACCCAAGATGAGGTTTGAGCAGTGCCACAGGGACCCGCAGCTGAGCAGGGAAGATAAACCAGCCCCAACAGCTGCCTAAGGAGGGGCAGGGTCCATCTGTGGGAGGCAGGGATCTGGCATTAACAGCATAATGGCACATGAGGGATGCGCTCATGTTCATCCTCATGTTTCCTACCCCTCAAGAGCTCCACTTGGAAACCTCAATGTGTTTTTAACACACGAGTCCCAGTTTAATTAGGAAAGCACATGAAGAGTTTGGCATTTCCCATTCCACTGCATGGAGCTGGAGCGACCTCTCACTGCCAGCGCAAGACATCACCCAGGTGATTTGGACTTGGCCTTGCCCTGTTACGGGAGGGACCAGCAGCAAGGCTGTTCTGTGGCTCTCTTTGAGGGATGAGGGACCCAGCTGACCCCGGTGGGGCTGTGCTGAGCACCAGGCTTCGCAACACTCACTGTCAAGAGCCGAGAGCTCGGTGCTCTTCTGTTCGTCCATCGAGGGCTTTGTGAGCACATCTGCTCCACCTGCAAACCCAGGGCAGCCGCTGGGGCCTTTGCTGCAGCTCTCCGGGGGGGGGGGCCCTCGTGCTGCACACCGCGACCCAGCCATCACTGTAAGCCCCCCAGAGGTGATCCCAGTGATCCCGGTGCACAGGGGCAGGCGCTGGAGGAGCCCGGGTGCGCACTTGCCCCATCACAGCCCCCTCACCCCCAGCACTCACCATCCCCATGGCCCAAGCGCGCCGTGGCCAGGGCCGGCTGCAGACACACGGCGGGGGCACCGCTGTCCCCCGCGGCCCCGCTCGCACCCAGCTCCTCTGCGCCTGCTGCTCCCTCGGCTCTGTTCTCGCCCTCCTTCGGGAGCTCCTGCGCAGCCCCGGCGCTCGGGGGGGTCTCCTGGGGTCGAGCCGCTGCTCCTTCACCTTCCATGGGGCAGCTGCCACACAACAACGAGTCGGGAGTGGGGGGAGGGGGGGGGCACCCCGGAGCGGAGCGGACGGGCAGGACTGCCGGAGCCCCCAGCCCCTCCGTGCCCTCCCGCTCGCCCCCCGCACCGGCCGAAGGCCCGGAGCCCGCCCGCCCTCCTGCTCGCAGCGGGGCCGGAGGGACCCGTCCTTGCTAAACCCGCGGCCACCCCCCCGCCGCCCGGCCCGACCCGGCCGAGCCGAGCCCCGGGCTCACCCCCGGCATCCTCCGCCGCGGGGCCCCGCGTCCTGCCCGGGCACTTCCCCTTCCTCCGTTGCGGCGCGGCGGGGCCCGGCCCCCCAGCATTTGCCCTTCGTGGCGGGGCTGTGAGCGGTGAAGTGCCCGGTGGGACGGCTCCAAAGGGGAGAGGAGGGGGGGTCTCCCGGCCCCGCTGTCCCGCACAGGGCCGGGGGTAGCGCCGGGGGTAGCGCCGGGGGAACGGCGGCGCTGGGGGAACGGTGGCGCTGGGGGAACGGCGGCGCTGGGGGAACGGCGGTGCTGGGGAACGGTGGCGCTGGGGCGCTGTTTCCAGCCGGGGCCCTTTGCAGGGAGGAGGAGGCGCCGCGGCGCTGGGTTTGGTGGGCGCCGGCGGAAGCGGACGCGGCGGCGGGAGGGGACGGGGACCGGACCGGACGGGACGGGAGGGGATGGAGGAGCCGGAGATGCAGCTGAAGGTGAAGAAAGGTGCGAGCGGGGCCGGGGAGCGGGGTCTCGGTGAGGGTCGGCAGTCGCGGGACCGGTCGCGACAGGGCCCTGCGGGTCGTGACAAGGCGTGGGCGTTCTGCAGCGACTGCAGAAATCACGACAGGGCCTTGCGGGTCGTGGGAAGGCCCCAGGTGGCGAATCAGCGGCTGATAATTGGGTGTCGAGGTAACAACAGAGCCCGGATAGGCCCCGCGGGCTTGGTCGCGATAGGACGCTGTAAATCGGGACCAGGCAGGGCCCGGCAGCTGGGGGCAGAGCCGTGGGGGCCCTCGGAGTTCGGCCCTGCTTTGTGTCCCCTGGTCTGGATCGTTCTCTGCCTGCTCCGCCGGTCCCTGGTGTCGGAGGGACACAGCGGCCGTGCCCGTGCCCGTGCCCGTGCCTGTGCCTGTGCCTGTCCCTGTCCCGGGGGGTAGAATCCTTCCTGCAAAGCTCATTCCCGTTTGTGCGCTGCAGCTCCCCCCTATCCTGGCATCACAGACCTGGGGCACCCGAGCGGTTGGCACTGAAACCAAAGCTCTGAGGGAGGAGGAGAGAAACCCGAAACTGATGCAGGAGCTGCACTTGTCCTGCTTCCGCCCGGGGCAAACGCTCCCTGAGCATCCCCTTGCTATGAGCAATGAAACAAGCTCCAAGTTTGGGCTTTGATTACCAGGAGCTGATAATTCTCCTTGTGAAGCTGCAGGGAAAGAGGGATCAGAGCTGTGACTCAGTTGGAAAGATGTTCCCATGGGGCCTGGACAGAGCCCGAGCCAGGATGAGAGGGGTGCAAGGAGGGGAAGAGGCTCAGCAGCCACCTCAGAACAGCAGCAGAGCTTCCCTGGTTGGCAGCCACCAAGCCTCCTCCATGGGCTTTTGTAGGACATCACCTTGGGGAGCAGCAGCGGGACCCCGCTGGGTGCCCTAAGCAAGACAGGTTGGGAGAAGCAGCATTCCCAGCCAGGCACAGGAGCAGAGCCTGGGCTCTGCTCAGCTCTTGCCCCCCTCCAAACTGGTCAATGACAGGCATAACCCTGAAACCAGAACAACCAGAGCTTGTAGGGGACCATGGCGGCGGTGACATCCCAGGCTGGCTCTGCCAAGGGATGGGGACATCCCAGGCTGGTTCTGCAAAGGGATGGGGGCATCCCAGGCTGGTTCTGCAAAGGGATGGGGGCATCCCAGGCTGGTTCTCCCAAGGGATGGGGACATCCCAGGCTGGTTCTCCCAAGGGGTGGGGTCATCCCAGGCTGGCTCTGCCACGGGATGGGGACATCCCAGGCTGGCTCTGCCACGGGATGGGGACATCCCAGGCTGGCTGTCTCAAGGGATGGGGACATCCCAGGCTGGCTCTCCCAAGGGATGGGGACATCCCAGGCTGGCTCTGCCACGGGATGGGGGACATCCCAGGCTGGCTGTCTCAAGGGATGGGGGACATCCCAGGTTGGTTCTCCCAAGGGATGGGGACATCCCAGGTTGGTTCTCCCAAGGGATGGGGACATCCCAGGTTGGTTCTCCCAAGGGATGGGGACATCCCAGGCTGGCTCTGCCAAGGGATGGGGACATCCCAGGCTGGCTCTGCCAAGGGATGGGGACATCCCAGGCTGGCTCTGCCAAGGGATGGGGACATCCCAGGCTGGCTCTCCCAAGGGATGGGGACATCCCAGGCTGGCTCTCCCAAGGGATGGGGACATCCCAGGCTGGTTCTCCCAAGGGATGGGGACATCCCAGGCTGGTTCTCCCAAGGGATGGAGGACATCCCAGACTCTCCTCTTCCCATGCCTGTTGTTGCTCTTGTTGCAGTCACAGACAAGTTCACAGAGAGCATGTACGTGTTGGCCAACGAGCCCTCGGTGGCACTGTACCGGCTGCAGGAGCACGTGCGCAGGTCCCTTCCTGAGCTCGCCCAGCACAAGGTGAGTTGGGCTCCACGTGGCCTCCAGAGCTGCCACCCTCAAGCACAAAGTGCTCTCCTCACCTCTCCTGTTGTCCCTACTTCACCTGCCTAAGGGGGAGCAGGAGGGAGGGAGGAAACTGGCCTCTGGGGTACGAGGTGCTGCAGGACCCCAGCTCAGCGTGAATTAGAGAGAATGATGCAGATTTACCTGTGGAGCCAAGTCAAAAAGCTACTTGAGAGTGCAGCCATGATCCTGTGCTCTCACAGCTGGATTTGTGCATGGAGACAAAGAGAAAGGAGTCAACTGTTTTGTACAGGGAGGAGGGAGATGCTGAATCTGATTACCCCTGCCTGCAATGGGAGGTTTTTATCTCCTACATAAAATAAGGAGGAGGGAAGGGGGAGAGGGAAGAAACAACTGAGAAGAGCCCACATGAAGCAAAGCAGGATAATGAATCGCATCTCACAGCTGTGTTCCTCCTTTCCTCCAGAGCACAGACTCTTTAATGCCAGCCTTGTTGTCCTTCTCCCTCTTCTGCCAGTCATGATTCATTAGGAGTGATGTCTCATGAATAGATTATTGCCTCATGTCTATGCTAATGCACTGTCAGGCCCCATTTTTCACCTTTGCTTTACAGCCCTGGCTTTCCAAATTAACCTGGATTGTGACACTTTATTATTCAATTATTTATTAATGTTTTATATAGGTGTCTGTATGCAGTGGTTGGTGTATAGAGATGTATGTGTGTGTGCAGCACGTGCTGCTTGTGCCACTGGCATTCTGGAGACAGGGTTGTAATCTTATTCCTGAGCTGTCACTTGCTTTCATTTAATCAGGATAGTCCCACTTTCAGGGGATGTGTCCTGAACAAAAGGAAGTGGAGCAAATTGTATGACAAGCCTTGCAGAGGGAAGAGATCAGTTCCCATCCCTGAGCAGTGCCTAGCAGGGATGAAGGTGGGGGACATCGCAGCAGCACTAATGGAAGGAGTGCTGAGTGAAGGTGCCAGATGCAGAGTGGTGTTGAGCAGTGGGGTTTATGCCAGGCTAAGGCTCTGCAAACCTTTGGTTCTTTCATTTTCCCTGCTCTTTGCAGTTATCTGCAGCGTTCTGGGACCTCTCTGGCTCATCCAAGTTCATTTCCCAACTGCAGCCCTCCCAGAGAATCTTCTTTTGTAGCCAGAATTGCTGCTGGTTTTCACTTGTGAGAAAGGAGGTCACACTGTCCTGTGGATGCCAGCAGCATCTGTGAGGACCTTGCACCCTCTGTGTGACTGCAGCCTCACAAGCATCAGATCCCTTTGGTCTTCAATGCCTTCATGTTCAGCCTTGCATCCTCCCTCCTGCTCTGCTCTCTAGCCCAGCTGGAACAGCGGTGGTCTTGGCACACGAGGAAGAGCTCCCTGCAGTAACAGTGCATGGCAGGACAGAGCTGAACTGATCACACGGTGGCCTGGTGTCACCCCAGTGCCTGTTTGCCTCTCCAGTGTTAGAAGTGGGGCAAGAGCTGGGAGAGAATGGAAAGAAAATGGTTTGTGGCAGCTGGAATAGAGCTGCTGTGAGGGACGTTTCCTCCAGCCCCATCAGTTCCCATGTTCTCCTCCCTGCTGATAACTGGTAGGAACTGGGAGGATTAAACATAACTCAGGCCTGACTGTGCTGCCAAGCTGCTGGCAGTGGGCTGGTGGCCAGGTTCTCTCTGTTGTCCTTGATCCCACTCTCATTTTACCCCAGTTTCAGGCATTGCTGTTTGCAGTGAACAGGCCGAGCCTGACAAGCCCAGGCAGCCAAACCCCAGGAGGGAGGGATGTGCTCAGGGCCATGGTCACAGCATTCCGTTAGATGAGGATGGATATTTTGGGTTGCTCTGCCAGAGCCCATTGGCTTTGTGGTTAGAGACTGGAACAGGAGGGTGTCAGCAGGGCTGTGCACCGTGAACGTGCTGTCAGGTTTGATCTGGATCAGAGCAAAGGCATTAAAGTGCTTTAAATGCTTCAGAATAGAAAAGAAGAAAAAGAAATGTTCTGTATGGATCTGTTCTTAAGTAATTTAGTCCCAAGATGCAGGTAATATATAAAGGAAATGGGATTTATTGGTGGTTTCCAGCTTTCCTTCAGCCGTGCAACAGCTCTGTCTCTGGCTGTGAATGGTCCTGAGATGCAGCCTTTGAAATTTCCAGGGTTAAGCCTTGGAAAAATTGGGAAGGAGGGGGCTGGGAGAAAAATTTCTGCAGGGAGAAGGTCACCCCCGTGCCTTTACAACAAGGAACTTGCTGTGGTTTGAGAAAACAATAATCTTAATACCTTCCTCCCATCTCCGAGCAGATTTACCACCTCGCTGATAAGATCCTGCTGAAGGCTCTCACTGCCTCCACACGTTGAGGCTGTGCTGCTGAGCCCTGCTCCACACAGAGCAGCCTGGCTGCGTGTCTCTGCTCTTTGGTTAACTTACAGCTCCTCATTAGTTTATTCCCAAGCACCAGTAATAAATCAGTAGTGCTGTTGTGTATTAATAGCTGGCTTTAGTTCTTCAACTGCATCCAAGGGCATAGCCTGGGAATCTGAAGAAAGGACATCAAGGAAAGATTAAGAAGTGAGGAGCTCTAGGGAAAGGCTCTTGTTCCTAATTAAGGCCATGAAAATCCCAGGAAGTGGTGGGAATGCTGGGAGCAGGCATCACTGCCTCTGATGATGGGAAATGACTAAAACATCCCAGTGCTCAGCAGCGGCAGGGCACAGGCTGTGACACCCACACCTGAGCCGTGGCAGGGCCTATGTGGTTGTTCAGGGTATCTGGCACCTCCTGGGGAGAGCAAGGGGAGGAGCTGCAGGGAAGTCTGTGCATCCTCTGCAGCTGCCTCTGCCCTCAATGCGTGGTCCCATCAATGGGGGCGGTTGTGGTGTTCTGTGGGGTGTGGGTCCTGCAGGGAGCTGCCTGGAGTGTGGCATGTACAGGCTTGTTTCTTTTGTGGTCTCGGGCTCTGTGGTCAAGCATCCTGATGGAGGACAGCCTTTGAACAGCAGAAATGATTCTGGATGAAGTCCAAGCTCCTACCCCACCTCCTTCACTCACAGAAAGAGGCCTTGGGTTTCCTCTGGCTCGTAACTAGACCCAGCAGAATAGATGGGAGAATTAGCTCCCATGAGAATGTATTTTGCAAGAGTGCCCAGACTACTTGAGGGCTTTTGCAGTAGGTATCTATTGAGCTCTGAATTCAGCTGCGCTCTCATTGTGATTTGTGGGGTTTGGTTGGTTTTCCCTTTCCTTGGAGCTAGTGCCCAGTTCTGTCCTGTGCCAGGACTGGCCGTGTGCAGCACTGCTTCAGTTTGTGCCCAGTTGACAGGGTTCCTCCCAGCTCGTGATGGGAAGGACACGGTGCTGACTGCTGCTTGGGAGCAGACCCTGGGGTCTCAGGGCAGGTGGGAGGACAGGGATGCTGTACAAACCTTTGTGGATGGCAGGTCTGCTGAAACAAGAACTTCCCAGCAGCTTTACCTGGCTTTGCAGCAGGACTAAGGACTGAACTCCACGGGAGCTGTGTCAGTTCCAGCTGCCTGCTGGGCTGGACACACCAGGGCATCCAAGTACTCCAAAACATCCAGCTGCTCCCTTGCACTCAGCACCATTGCTGGTTGCTCACAGCCCGACTGTCCATGGCTCCCAGCTGGCTCATGGGCTAAAAGAGCTAAAGCCAAGGGGAATTTTGCCAGAGTATCCAAAGATACAATCCTAGTATCCTGAACTAGGAGCCCTGCCAGAAATACACACAATAAATGCCCCTTAAATGCTAGTGTGTGGCTGTGTCTGCCCAGCACACGCCTCATGGTGTCGCCTTGTCTTCTCTTTCAGTCCGACATGCAGAGCTGGGAGGAGCAGAGCCAAGGAGCCATCTACACAGTGGAGTATGCCTGCAGGTACAGGGGCCTCCTCCGAGCAGGAGGGTTGTGTTCACAGGCAGAGGTGTAGTGGTAGAAACAAAGCAGGAAGCTGCCTGTGGTTCCCTGGTGTCTCCCTGGTCTAAGCTGAGAGAGCACAGTCAGGGTGAGGGTAAAAGCAGTGCCTGTAGGGACAGGCCAAGGGGAATCGCTTGAACCTGCCCGAGGGGAGACTGAGCTGAGCTCTTAGGCAGAAGCTCTTCCCTGTGAGGGTGCTGAGGCGCTGGCACAGGGTGCCCAGAGAAGCTGTGGCTGCCCCATCCCTGGCAGTGCTCAAGGCCAGGTTGGACACAGGGGCTTGGAGCAAGCTGCTCCAGTGGAAGGGGTCCCTATGGCAGGGGTTGGAGCTGGAGGAGCTTTAAGGTCCCTTCAACCCAAACCAGGCTGGGAGTCTATGATTCTATGAAGCTGAGGGTTTTATTGCCAGTCCTCTCTGTCGGTGTGTGCTCCAAACCCACAGCACCTTTGGAAATACTGACCTGCCTCCATGTCCCCCCCACCCCTCTCTGTTTGTCTTTCAGTGCCATAAAGAACATGACTGACAGCACCGTGTACTTCAAGAGCATTGACAGCCTGCTCAAACACGCCATAGCCATGAAGGAGCAGCTGAATGCTGCCCAGGGCCGCAGGTAACGAGGGGATGTGCCACTGCCCCTGCCCAAGTGGGCTGGCAGAGGCCTTGGTGACGCAGCACAGTGCAGATATACCAAGAGGTTCTCTCAGTGACAGGATGCTAGGCTGTTATTTGCAAGAGAACACTGCTTGCTTTCCAGTGATCTCCTGGCCTTGTTCACTGGGAAGCAAATGATCCAGTTTATAAAAGGGTAACTGGAAAATAATTTATTTCCTTGTTTAAAAAGGGATGTTTGGTTGTATAAAACATATTTTTGTTGTGTCAAAAGTGTTTGGAGTGAGATGATGCTACTGACACGGGGTAGGTGTGAGGCTGTTCTCTGTCACATGTATGGTTCTTTTGGCCCAGAGTCCCACAGAGATAAGTGGTAGCAGAATGATGAGGCATTTCTGTATGGTTGCAGTTGAACTACAGCTACTAAAATATCTTCCAGCAGGTTGCCTCAGTCCAATGTATGTGTCTCTGCCTCCCTCCCTCTTCCTTTTTGAAGTCTGGCGGGGTAGGAGTGAGATAATTCCCAAGTGCCCACCCCTGACAAACCCACCACAGTGAACAGAGCCCCTGTGTCTGCAGCACAAGTTTGCTCAGACACCTCTGGTCCAGGTTCTGTATTTCCCTGCTGCCTGCTTGGCAGGGTCATGCTCTGCACAGCCCAGAGCGGTGCTGAGTGGGTTTGTGGTGGTGTGCCTGCAGATTGCTTGCCACCCACAGGGACCCGTGTGTGTTGCTCTGTATCCTACACAGCACTCTGAAAGCCCTTCTTGTCTAACTCACTCTCCTGCTGCAAGCAGGGAGGTTTTATCTGAGAGAGCCCCTGGTTCTTTGCATCCCTATGGCTGCTGTGTCCTCCCTGCCTGCTGGATGTGACCTCTCTTTCTTTTCACAGCACTGTTGCCCCACAAGCCAAGAATCCTCCAGCCAGTTCCTGATTCAAGACTGGCCGTCCTCTGCTGCCTTCTCCAGCCCAGCTCCATGTTCTCCAACCACAGGGAGGAGGGAGGAACCACCTACTCAAGCTGTGAAGCTGCACCAAGGCCTCTGCCTGCTTCTGTTCCTAGTAATGGGTGCACCTGAGCAGGCAAACCCTGCTGCTTTGGGGGGCAGCTCTGTCCCTTTGCTCTGCAGGAGGGAAATGGGGTGATTCTGTGCTTGTCCTTTCCAGGTCTCTTCAATGGCAGACTGCTATGAGGCATTTTTCTCTCTACCTCTGGGCCACAGAGATATCTCTGCAAAACTAGGTCTTGCTTTCAGGGTTTTGTGGGTGGCTGTGGAACGATGTAATGCAGGCACGCTTTGGCTTTGTTCAGGAGGCATTCTGCAAGGAGAGGGTTTCATGTGTGTGCCAGGGAGCCGCTGAATCGGGTTTCAGGGAGAACAATAATAAAAAGAAAACACAAGAAAGTTCTGTCTAAAACCTCCCCCTGTTGCTTGCCTCAGGCTGAGGGCTCTTGGAGCCTGCTGGCTTGGCGTGTTTCAGAGGGCACGGAGCAAAACAAAGACATGCAGAGCCGGAGCCTTTCAAAGGAAAAAGGAACTGTCCTGTTCTTCATAAAGCCAACAAGAAAAGGGCTGTCTCCATCCCCTGTCCTGCAGTGGGAAGCAGAGCCGGTGCACAGCTTTGGAGGGCACTTTACAATGGATGCAGCTTCAGTGTTCATCTCTCCTGGAATCAGCTCTGTTCTGCTGAAGAATTTCCCAAGGATGCAGGGATCAAAGCAGGGCTAAACTCAGTTCCCAAAGGAATTGTATTGTGTTGAGGGAATCTCTGAGTTGGTGGCCTCTTTTCCCTCCCTGAAATGCTTTAGTAGCTGCTGAATGATAAGGAATTGGGGAAGAACCACCTGTGCTGCTGCTGTGGGCCAGGGCAGGGCTGGTGTGAAGCTGTGAGTAACCAGTGAGGTGTTGGTCAGAGGGACAGAGTGAGCTGAACCTACTTGTGTGTCATGGCAACAGCACTGCCTTTAGTACCTGTGCTCTGCCCTGCATGCAGCAGCGCCAATGCAAACCCCTTCGAGAACCTCAGCTGTGAGAGCCTGCCCTGCTCTGGGGGCACCCCGGTAATTCTGAGGTGCCTCCACTGCTGAGCAAAGCCAGGGCTGCTCCAGCACAACCCTTTCCTTGTGGAGAGCTGTTGGTGGCCCTGCTCAGCAAGCTGTGTTCTGCTCAGAGAGCAGACATGCTGGTGACCAAGCTGCAGGCTCTCTGCTGCCCCAAACCCACCCTCTGTGGCCTGCAGACTCCTCTGCTTCCAGCTCACTTGCTCCTCAATCTTCCTTGTTTTCTTACCCCCTGCCTGGCTGCGCCCCGATGGGTGGTTGTATGATCTGCCTTGGTGTAGTGATGGCTCCTGGGATGGGGGGGGAAGAAGGAAGGAGGCAGCAGAAGGACAGGGAGTGATGGATAGAGAGCTCGGCTGGGATCTGCTGGAGAAGGAGAGTAGGTCTGCTTATGGACAAGGTCCACTTGCTTCTTCTCACCCACATATTTGTTTGCTGCAGTTACAGCCGAGGACTTTTGGCTTTGAGTGGAGGTGGTGTCTTCTCCATAAATCAAAGAGCATCAGGCAGCGGCTGCACAGACCCCCAAGCACGATGGTGGGAACACAGCCACCCCCTGCTCTGGTGAGACAAGACCTACGTTAAGCTCTAAATACAGATGCAGATCTTAGCCCTGGTGCTTGCGGGTCCCATGGGAGGAGATGGGGAGAAGGGGTCCCACTTCCACTCACACCAGAGTCGAGTCCTTGCCCGAGGCTCCAGGTTTGCGAGACATCAGGTTCCTCATCTCCTGTGTGATGCTGTTCCAGGGCTTGCCCTGTGCCTGCAGCAGACCCGACTCTGCTGACAGTGTCCTGTGTGTTCGGGGCAGGTTGTAGCTCTCCTTCCCGGGGCTGCCGGAGGAGGTGAGGTTGCTGCTGGCCGGGGAGCCCAGCTGGGATTTGCGCTCCAGGAAAGGAGGGAAGGAGAATTCCCGGTGGATCTCAGGCCGAGGCCGGGGCGCAGCCACGTTCTTGTTGTTGAGATCACTGGTGGAGGGGTCACCGTGCTGGGCAGAGTCGTTCTCATACAGGGTGTGAGAGACCTCAGAGCGGCCGCGCCGGGAAACCTGGGAAGCCCGAACCAGGGCATGTGTGACCGTGATGAGCAGGACAATGATGCCAGAGGAGAGGATGCAGGCGCTGGCGATGCCGGCCTCCAGCTCAAACAGCAGCAGCATGTAGATGGCGAGAGCTGGAAGGAGAGTGTGGAACATCTTGAGCAAGGACTAAAGGGAAGCATTTGACCTGTAGAATTCAAGCTGAGGAGCCCTGGTGAAGGCTGCTCACCAAGAACAGCAACTCCACACTACAGGGATGAGCTGTTTGCATACAGAGGCGGTGCTGAAGGAGAAACTCAGCAGCTCAGAAGCATTCCCAGCACAGGGGTAAGGGGGGGACCAACACTTGCCTGTCAGGTAGACAGAGACCCCGCAGCAGAAGAGGCCGATGGCAGCGTGGCGCACGGTGCGGCTGTCCAGCAGGAACCAGTCTGCCCTGCAAGAGAGGTGAGAAAACACTGTGTGTGCTGCTGCTCTCAGCACAGGAGGAGCACTGGTGCTCTGCAGGAAGGCTGCTGAGAAACTGAAATGGGTTTTGCATAGGGAAGAGGTTCAGAGCCAGGTCACAAGGGTTGCGCTGCTCTGGGCCAGGAGATTGAACATCGCTGGACAGCTCAAGCTTTCCCTGCCTTGCTGCTGTGCTCCAGAGGCCTGATGGGCTCAGGGGCTTGGGGGACACAAGTGGATGGAGGCTTTTTGCAGGTGGTTTGCCCCCGTTCAGCCAACCCTGAAGATCAAGGAAGAAAACGGAGCCTGCCTTCCCCATAAAGAATGACAAGTGAAGTGCTGGTACACTGACTTAAGCAAGGCCAGGTTCTCTCTTCACCCTTGGGATTGGATTTCTATGCTTGGTTTCAATTGCAAACCTTTTGTCTGGAAGGGGCTTGGTACTTGGGCTGTGTTTAAAACACCTGAAAAGTCCAGCTCCTTTCCAGCAGGGCCTTTGTTTCCCACCTGCCACAAACCCCTGCTACCAACAGCTCTTTGGATGTCTTTGGAGCCAGATTGACCTGGCAAACCTCAGTCCTCCCTGGCTTTGGAGGCTGCTGTCACCAGAGGATGCCTCTGTTATTGGTCGTTGGGGGATGCAGTGCTCCGGGGGGAGCTTGGCAGATGGGTGCCAGGCAACTCAGGGGTGTCTGGAGAGATACTGGCAGGACTGCGATGGTTGCACACTGCAATAGGAGAGGGCTGGAGCAGCTCTGCTCTGGAGCCAGGCTGAGAGAGCTGGGCTGGGGCAGCCTGGAGAAGAGAAGGCTCCTGAAGGGGAGACCTTAGAGCAGCTCCAGTGCCTAAAGGGGCTGCAGGAAACCTGGAGAGGGGCTTGGGACAAGGGCCTGTAGGGACAGGCCAAGGGGAATGGCTTGAACCTGCCCGAGGGGAGACTGAGCTGAGCTCTTAGGCAGAAGCTCTTCCCTGTGAGGGTGCTGAGGCGCTGGCACAGGGTGCCCAGAGAAGCTGTGGCTGCCCCATCCCTGGCAGTGTTCAAGGCCAGGTTGGACACAGGGGCTTGGAGCAAGCTGCTCCAGTGGAACGGGTCCCCATTGCAGGGGTTGGGACTGGGCGAGCTTTAAGTCCCTTCAACCCAAACCAGGCTGGGATTCTATTAACCAGCCCCTTGAACCAACTGACCATGTCCAGAAATCCCAGGGAGCTGTAGGAAAACGTGCCCTGGTTTGGCAGGACCAGCAGCAGCGGCACAATCTCCTTGTGCTGCAGGACCAGCTCTTGCATTGCACCCCTGCAGCATCCAGCTCCTTCTGCCCCACAGTGGAGCTTGGGCAGCCGAGGCTGCTGTGCCCTGGCCGTGCCCCCCCCTCCATTGCCTGGCCCCTTCCCCTCCTCCTGGGCTTGTTGCAGCCCCTCGGCCACTGCCACCCGCGCAGGGACCCCCTGGACCCGCTCCCCAGGGAAGAGCAGGCGCTGGGGTTCATTAATGACCTGAGTCGGGGGGGACTGGGGGGGAAGCACTTTGTGTGGAGCTGGCTCGGGCCATTGAGCGCAGCGCTGAGCCGTGGAGGGGTAATTCAGTGTGACAGCCCCGACGTGGGAAAGGTCCCTGGGACGTGAGCGGCTCCCCTAATGAAAGGAGGCCACGAGGAGACGGCAGCGACCAGTATGGCGCTGCTTGGGCCACCGCATCTCCGTGTCCTGAAACCCTCCCAAACACGAGGGTAACCCTCAGTGTGCAGCTGGGGAAACCGAGGCACGGCCACACTGAAGTGATCTGCTTCAGATCCGCTACAGAGGGACACCAGCCCGGGGCTCCCAGTGCCTTGTGTCACCTGCAGCAAAGCTCAGAGCAGCTTCTGAGCATAGAAACGCTTTAAAAGCAGGGCATTTGGGAAGGCCACCAGCAGGTTCTGCAGCCCTGCAATGGTTGCTCTGTCCCTTAAATCCTTGAAGGAGTCACTGCTGTTGGAGCCTGGGCTGCCTTCTACCTGTGACTTCACATCTGGCTGCTTGATTAGTGCTGCTGGTTCGCACTCAGGGTCATCCAAGCTGACCTTCCCAATGTCGAAATGGAGCATTTCCCAGCACAGATCAGCACCAGGGCTCAGGCAGACTCAGTGCAGGGGGAGTTCTCTGCTGTGCCCCTTTGCCAGCAGTGACCCAGCTCCCAGAGCAAAGTTGGCTGCAGGAGCTTTGTGTTCTGCAGAAATATTTTGCTCCCCTTCATTAATGAGCCCGCAGAGCATCAGCTTCACTTGGAAGATGCTGAGAGGAGATGCTGGAGTGCCTCCAGCCCCGGTGCTCCATGCAGCGCATTGATGGCTTTCTCTAATTAGGGACAAAAGGAACTGTTGAGACCTGACCAGTTCCTTTAAATGAGTTTTGTCTTAGGTCAGAGTGGGCCCAAAGTGGTCCTGTGGGGAGCAGTTTCCACCAAGATGCTTTTAAATCTGATTATTCACAAGTTGGTTTTATCTTTTAACCCAGGAGTGGAGCCGGTGCTGGGCAGAGGAGCACCAAGGAAGGGGAGAGGAATTGCTTTGGAAATGGTTTTGTAGGTGTAAATGTGCTGGTAATGATTAAGTCAACACATGTCTATGGTTAATGATCCCAGGCCTGGGGTCATTTTGGTGCTGTGTGAGTGGCCTGGGCAGTCACCCCAGCAGAGCCCACTGCAAAGGGACAAATGCGGGGTGCTCCTGGGTACTGCAGCCAGGCCCAGCACGTTCTCCCTGCCCTGGTCCCAGGGCTGGTGTGGGTGACCCCACACGCTCCTGTAAGCTCAGGGAGGGACCCTGATGCACGCACTGCTTTGCAGAGAATTATGTATTAGTGCAGCTGCTATAAACTTGCTCCTTGCACCCCAAATTAAGGGGTCTTGGGGTTCATCACGCTGCTTCCCAGGGATGATGATGGTGGATTTGGGGACAAGTGCTCAGTGAGTGCCCAGCATCACTCGATCCTCACAGCCCCATTTTGCACAGGCAGTACTGGGAAGGTCCTGGCAAAGGTGGGGCTTGGGGCGCAGAAGGGGTCGGCATGGCCGTGTGTGAGCCTGTGCCAAGGGGCAGGCACCCTGTGACAGGACCCTGCACCCCGAGCCCTCCTTGCACCCCCAGTCCCTTCCGTGCCCCTCCACTCCCGCCCAGCCTCCCATTGCCCTGGGAGCCCCCCCTGCACCCCGGGGCCCCCCAACCAACCCTCCTGCAGCCCCCGCGCCGCCGCTCTCACCGGTCGGGCCCGGGCTGCCCCCGGCACAGCTCGGTGCTGAAGTAGCCGTGGAGGAGGCAGAGGAGGAGGCAGCTCACGTTGAGCACCAGGCAGAGCGCGGCCAGCACGGCCGATACCGGCAGCAGCACGGCGGCCGCCGGCTCCGGCAGAGCCCCTCGACCGGCACCGGGACCGGCAGCGGGACCGACCCGGCCCGACGGCAGCTGGAAGATGAGGCTGGAGGCGAGCAGGGCCATGGCGGCGGCCAAGGTGCCGAAGAGCAACAGCACCGTCAGGGCCCGCTGCGGGTAAGCGGAGGGCATGGCGGGCTCTGTACCGGGAACCGGGACGAGGAGGGCACCGGGCCCGCAGACTCGCTCCGCGCCCCGAAGTTGCGTGCGGTGCCCTCACCCCCGGTGCTCCGGTTGCTGGATCTCAGACCGGGACCAGGAACCGGCACCGAGACGGCGGAGCTGCGGCCGTGCCGGGCGTGCGCCTCCCTCCCCGCGCAGGGGCGGACCCGTCCTCCCTCCCGGGCCGGCCCCTCGCCGCGGGATCCCCCCTGGACCGGGATCCCTTCCCCGGGCAGCTCCGCCCAGCGTCCGCCCCTCGACGGGGCCGCGAGAGGCAGCTCGGACCGGATGGGGCTCTGGATGGATGAGGGACAGGAACCGGACCGGGGCGCCCCTCAGAGCGCGTCTGGGCTGGGGTGGATGGGCGGAGGGACGGGCGGGGGCCGCAGCAGCAGCTCCGGACCGTGCATCCCGCTGCTCCCGTTGGCTCTCCCCGTTCCCAGGGCCGGCTTCCCTGGGAAAATCCTGGGACCAACCCCACCAGCCTTAGCCCAGCCTTGGCGTGGGCTGAGCGGGGACGAGGATGGAAAGAAAGGGACACGGTGGTGCCCTAAACCTGCTGCAGAGATGCGTTCAGACTCCACCTCCAGCCGCAGCACCCTCGACGGGTCAGGAGCAAGCACCCAAAACGTTCTCAGTCCAACAAGGCTGAGAAAGGACCCACGAAGTGATGCCCTGCCCCTTGTCCTTGGGGCTGGGACAAATTTCCAGTGTCATTTATAAATATCCTGGGAAGCAGAAGCAGCTTTTCCCTTGGGATCTGCCCCGCTTGGGAATCAGGAAGGATTCGAGGAGGATTAATTCAGGAAGATTCACTCTCCACATCACCTATTACCTTGAAACAGACCCTGTGCCTTGGGAGCAGCGGGGAAACTGAGGCAGAGTTTGGAACCCATGTCCCCAGCACACCGATTCCTCCACCATAGGAGACAAGGGGACATCGGGGTAGGGCCTTTCCATGCACACCCCCGGGCACACCGCCAGCGCCGCTGCCTCCTCCAGCCCGGTGTCATCAGCGCCTGGGCCCATTCCAAGCCTGGCTGTGGGATCTGGACTGGGTGACCTTTCCGTCTGGCACTGGAGCGCTCCCGGTTTCCGTCCCATCCCGCGTGGGTGGCTCCCGCTGGCACCCTTCGCTCCAGCCGGAGCCGCGTGGGACACGGGCTATTTTGAAGGCCGGTGTGTTGGCCTTGGCAGGCAGCGCTCATTGGGCTCCCGGCTGCTTTCCAGCCCTGCTTGCGTTTTTGGCTGAGGGGGACGTTGGTCCCCAGACCCGTTTCACTGGCGCTTGGCCCAAAATCCCCAAACCAGCTCCCGGTGGTGGTGTCTCTGTCCCTTCTCCCTTGTCAAGAGAGTGATGGGGCTCAGTGGTGTCCTATGGGCTGTGTCACTTGGGGTGCAGAGCAGCTCGGGTTCCCCCAAACCCCAAGATTTGAGGGCTGGAAGGGCCTCAAGAGGGAGCCCAAAGCATCTTGGAAGCCGCTGACCTGGAGCTTGCAGGGAGCAGCCAGGCAGACCCAAGGGGTCTGGGCAGCCCTTGTGCCCAAAGAGGGGGGTTCACTGCCGTGGCTGGACACGGCTCTGAGCCAGGCCAAGCCCCTGGGCAGCCCGAGGAGAAGGGGGGGGACAGCGCAGGGTGGTCCCACACCCAGGCAGGTGAAGGCCACCCCGTGTGTGTCCAGCCCAGGGGCATCGGGATGCGTTGTGCCCCGTTGGACTCCGCCGATGATCTCACACTTCTGCTCTCCCTCCCTCCCACCTCCTCTTCAGGATCAATTAAGATTAGGAGCAGGGCTAATTAACAGCCTGCTAATTGCACTCTGTAAATCGTGAGCTTTAAAAGCAGCTCTGAGAAAGATGCGTCCTTCCCACCAGTGCAGCCGCCACTGAAAGACTCGTCCAGAGAGTTCCCATCCTTCCAACCCCTCTTCCCAAGCCCCAGGGGCTGGGACTGCCCCCCCCCCCCCGGTGTAACTGGGGTGGAAGGACATCTCCCTGCCATGGCACTGGTGTGGGAGCTGGTTTCCAGTTACCCCTTGGTAACCCCCTCCCCACCCGCTGCCCCGGCAGCTCCGCACACGTAATGGGAGCTTGGGAATTGCATCAGTTCCCCCATCGCTGCTGTAAACACGGGTGCTCCCGATGGGAACCCTGCACCGAGCGGCTCCTGGACAGCTCTTCACTCCCGACCATGGCCAGAGGGAGCAGGACCCCTGGCACAGCCACCCACCGAGGCACCCACACAAGGACAGGAGATGAGCAGGGGTATGAATTGGGCAGTGCCTTCTCCAGGGCGGATTTTGGGGTCAGGTTTGGGTTTGGACACAGAGCTGGGGCACATCAGCATCCCTTGAGTTCACGTTCTGCTTTCCCCAGGGAAAAACCCCGTTCCGTGGGTCTGTTGCTGTGTGACAGAGCAGCATCTGCCTCCCTTCGCTCTGCAAATCCACCTCAGGTCATACTCACAGGCTTCAAGCCACAGGATCCACTGCCACCTGCATCCTCTCGTCCCTGCTTGAGATGCTCCAGTGCAGAGCTGGTCCCCGCCGCCTTCCCCCGGGGCTGGGAATGGGGATGGTGCCAGGGAATCCCAGCGCTGGATTGTCCCAGGTGCCATCAGGGCCTGTGCCCCCTCTCTCAGTGCCAGGACTCCGCAGGGTTGGGGTTTGCTGCTGCAGGCGCTGAGCTGGGGCCGGTCCCCAGCAGCGTGAGCTCCGTGTCCCCAGCGCTCGGGTTGTGTCCCTGTGGTTCGGTGGCCCCTGCGCAGCGTCCCAGGGCCGCTCGCTGCAGGGTGGCCTCGCTGGTGGCGCGGGGACGGGCTGTGGGCAGGAGCACGGGGCAGCCCCCCCGGGCAGGTCACTGCTTTTAGAGCAGGGAGGTATAAACCCGAGGGGGAGGGAGCTGTGAGGCTGGAGGTGGTGGTGGGGGGGGGGGTGTTCGAGCTGATGAGGTTTCTTTGGCTGTGGTTTTACTGAGCCCTGGGGGGCGCTGGGGACCGGGACCCCCAACCCTGTTACCAAAGGGGTGAGGGGGTCACCCGAAACCAAGGTAGGGGGAGCTGGCATGGGACAAACCCAGAGCCTGGCTCTGAACCTCCGCCCAGGAGCCCCCACTTCAGCCTGAGTCTGAACCCCCCCGCGAGGGCACAGCACCCCCAGGACCTCCCAAACTTCACCCTCATCCCAGGCCCCAGATTCCCACAGATTCATCCAATCCTCCCCCTGCCAAATCCCCATCCCAGTACCCGGTTCCCACCACCTCACCCCATTCCAGCCCCTCAAAGACCCCTTAATCCCCCAGCTTCTCCCCAGCCTTCCCCTCCGCCCCGATTCCCGGCAGAGGCGGTGTTATGCAAATCACTCCTGCGGCGGCCGCCAATGGGGAGTGAGCCCGGCTGCGGTATGCAAATCTTTCGGCGGGACGGGCGGGGATATGCAAATGTGTCCGGCGCGGCTCGGGCGGGCAGCGCGCGGCTCCGGGGACACGCTCAGGCATCGGACCGGGACCGGCACCGGGACCGGGACCCGACGGCTCTGGGGCCGCACCGGGGCCGGGCCGGCTCCGCGGCAGCGCCGGCGGGGAGTTCCCGAGGAGGAAGAGCCGGGGTCCAGGTGCGTGTCCCGGGGTGGGGAGCGGGGAGCGCTACTGTACGGGGGTGCTACCGGTACCGGGGAGAGGGGAGGGGGCAGCAGCCACCGACTTCCCCCAGCAGCGTCCTTCTGCCCTGACCAGGCTCCCCTCCGCTGCAGGCGGCCGCACGCATCCCGCCGGCAGCCCCGTCGGGGCGCAGGGGCAGGGGGAGCGGTGCCGGCCCGAGGAGGTGCCGGTGCGGCCGGGCCGGCGCCCCGCGGGCTGGTCTGAGCACGGCGGAGCCCCGTCCCCCGCCCCGCCGTCTAGGGATGGAGGGCTATAAAAAGCTGTGGTTTGCGCCGCGCTCGGGGTTATTTTTACTCGTGTCTGTGCAGGGAGGAACGCCCGGGTTTAACCCAAAAGTGCAGCCTGGACGGCAGCCGCCAGGCCCCAGCCCCGCAGCCGCCTCCCTGCCACCCCCGGGCCCGTCGAGGCTTTGGGGCGCTGGGGCTGAGCCCACTGCGTGAGGGGGAACTGAGGCACGGCACTGCAGGCTGGTGGCTCGACGTGGAGGAAGTTGTAACGCTGCAGGGCCAGGGCCTGGTGCCACCGTGGCTTCGCTGGGGTGTCACACTGGTCCGGCACATGTTGAGCTGCATCCCGGCTCCTTCCTGCTCCCAGTGGGAATGTGACCTGTCCACGGCTCTCGCCAACACGTGGCACATCCATCATGTCCCAGCTCAGCCATCCCCATGGGGAGAGCAACGTGGATGCTCTGCCAGATCCTCCTGTGTGCTGCAGCCAAGTCCCCATCCCTAGGGATTTACTCTCCTAATGAGAGAAAGTTTCCAAGAGCTGCTGGCTCTGGAGGTGGGTTCACAGGTAATGAATTACCTGGTGGATGAGTGGGAAGGCAGGGACCTATTCCAGATGCTTGCTCCCTCCGTCCACACACATCCCTTCGGACAATGGGCACCAGTTGGGAAGGGAGTGTCAGTGACTCAATCAGGGAGTGGGATCCTGGCCCTTTTCCATGCCTGGCTGCCAGCTGAGCACATCACACATAGGTGATGTGTTGGGGAGCAGGATCTGGGATGCAGATGCAGGCCTCAGGTTTGGCTTAGGATGTCAAACACCTGAGCACGGGTCACTGATATCTGGGTTCTGACACAAGGGAGGAGCATCCTAGCAGCGAGGAGGCCAGAGTCTGCTGTGCCATGCTGCCATGGGGATGCCCAGAAGGATAGAGGGGGGAATTACTATATTTAAGGTCCTTGGATTTCCCTTCTCTTTACAAGAACCACAGCAGGATTGCAAGGACCAAACCAGGCCTTTAAACCACACAGCCCTAACACCAGCCATGAGCAACCTCTGGCTGCCCCCATCAAACCCTCCAGCAGCAAACAGGCATCATTTCCCATATCACTGCCCAGCTGCAGCATGGGGCAGCCCAGCCCTGTGGGAACAGTGAGTTCCTTCCCTTGGCTGCTGCGAGCAGCATTCCCAGCACTGGGCACAAAGGTGGTCTG